GATCCTGCGAGGTCTAACCGTCCCGACCGCCACTGCGAAGCCCGAGAGCTCGCGTGGCCAGTCCAGGTGAGAAAAGCGCAAAGGATAACCAGGACGGTGAAGCAGACGAAGGCCAGCAAGATGCCATCCGGACCCAGCTGTATGTCTATTTGCACCCCATCCCGACTGGAGCCCTCACTTGGCGAAGCCTCCCGGCGCCCGCGGCGTCCGCCATAGCCCTGCGTTCATGGTTGCTGGTTGTCCGCCAAGTTGGCCGCTTTGCTGCTGTTCTCGACGTTTGGCTCGGAGGCCTCGCGCATCGTTTCGCCGTTGTCAACTATAAACTATACGAGCCCTTGGTCTTGGTCAGCCCAGGTCGAGACGCAGCCAAAACAGAGACAGGGAAGAAGGAAGAATTCGTCAACGTCCTATAACTTATAAAGAGACGCCAGGTGGCTGCCTGGTGCCTCGGACTGGGCGATTATTGGCATTTCGTTTCTTCTGACGCTGAACACCACTGGCTGCTGAAGCTTCGTGTCTCTCATTTATTCATTTATATCAGAGCCGCACTCGCCTGGTGAAGCCGGCTGCTGGTCCGTTGTTGATGCTGTCGTCGTTGTTGTCGATGGCGTCTGTCGAGATATAGACGTTATTCAACTAGATTTAGAAACAGACGGCCTCCGCTCTCATAACTAGCTAAATCCAGCATCCAACTAACTTATCCACCGCACACAAACACACACAAAGAGAGAGAGAGACGGAGAGAGAGAGGATCATGACTGAGGAGCCAAAGCCGGTCACGCCAGTCCTGCGGGACGGCGAAGCTGGCCTGGATACAACGGCGCCGACTGAAGCTGGCTCCCTCGGCGAGGAAGCTCCCAAGAAAGAGGCAGACGGCATAGTCGACGTCCCAGACGCAGAGCAGCAGAAGCAGGAAGCTCCCCAGCAGGGCTTCAGTGCCTATGTGGTAAGCATATCTGCTATCAATTGATATACAATTAGGCCAGCAGCAGCTAAATCATGTTTGGTTCCCGTTTTATCTAGAAATTATGGGCTTGGTGTGAGCCGATAGATGTAGTTCTTCGCATCTGCGGTTTCTTCGCTGCCGTGGCATCGGGCACTGTAAGTTTTCAATCTCTATATTATAGCTACTCTTGAAGACGCCAGCTGACCCTATCGTAGGCTTTGCCTCTTATGACTATCATCTTTGGCAAGTTTGTCAATATCTTCAATGACTTTGGCGTTGGCAAGATCTCCGGAGACGACTTCAGGGCCCAGATATCAAAGAATGCGTGAGTAGGCTATTTCTTTGCATGGTGATACCGGAGAACGTATTTTAACATATTCGAATTAGGCTCTGGTTTGTTTATCTCTTCATCGGAAAGTTTGCTGTAAGTATTTTTCTCCTTCTCAAGTCTCATCAAGGGGCGCTGCTGATGTCCACAAACAAGCTCGTCTACATCCATACCATCTGCTTCAATATTACTGCCATAAGAAGCGTCCGGAAGCTGCGTCTGCAGTATATCCGCGCCATTTTACGCCAGGAGATGGCCTACTTTGACACCTATACGCCAGGCTCTGTTGCAACTCGTATCTCGAATAATGCAAACCTCATCCAGACAGGCATGTCTGAGAAAGTAGGTACCTGCTGCCAGGGTGTTGCCATGCTGATATCCGCCTTTGTTGTTGCCTTTACTCAGAGCTGGAGGCTGACACTTCCCGTGGCCACCTCAATACCCACTGCTGTCACGCTTGTCGGCATTACTGTTGCCCTGGACGCTAAACTTGAAGCAAAAATACTGGACATATATTCCAAGGCTGGAGGTCTCGTCGAAGAAACATTAGGCAGTATCCGTGTTGTTGTTGCCTTTGGTGCCGGAGACCGTCTAAGCAAGAAGTATGATAACCATCTTGAGGCTGCCAAGGGGTTTGGTGTCAAGAAAGGTCCCGTTCTCGGCATACAGTACAGCTCGGAATTCTTCATCATGTACTGTGCCTATGCCTTGGCCTTTTGGTACGGTATTAAGCTTTTGCTTCAGGGAAAGATCGGAAGTGGAGGAGACATTCTCACGTATGCCACCCCATATATGTTTGCTTCCTATACGGTTTTGATATTAAACGATGTGCTAGGGTCTTGTTCTCTATTGTAATCGGCACTTCATCTCTCACCATGATTGCACCTACTCTAGGAGAGTTCACTAAGGCCGGTGCTGCTGCCAACGATGTTCTCAACATGATTAACAGGGTGCCAGAAATTGATTCGCTCAGCGCCGAGGGCCTGAAGCCCAGCAGTGTCAAAGGTGACTTGGAACTTTCTAACGCAGTTTTCTCGTACCCCGCCCGACCTACCATAAGGGTCCTAGATGGAGTCAATTTGAAGATACCCGCTCGTAAGGTCACTGCTCTTGTCGGGGCTAGCGGCAGTGGTAAGAGCACAATCATTGGACTCCTCGAGAGGTGGTATGATCCCGCCAGTGGTTCTATCACTTTGGATGGCGTAGACATTAAGGATCTGAACGTTGGGTGGCTTAGACGCCAGATTGGCCTGGTTCAACAGGTATGCATCCCTGCTCCCTTCCAAAATAAAACCGCAAGTTAGTGTCCTAACGTCCATATAGGAACCAGTATTATTCAACGACACTATCTACACTAATGTGCTCTATGGACTGCCGCCCGATGAAATAGCTCAGATGGACGAGGAGAAAAAGAGAGAGCTCGTTAGACAAGCCTGCATTGAGTCTAATGCAGACGACTTCATCCAAGGATTCCCCAAGGGGTACGATACTATTGTCGGCGAGAGAGGAAGCCTTCTCAGTGGCGGTCAACGACAGAGAGTCGCCATTGCACGTAGCATCATCTCTAACCCACCTATCTTATTGCTGGACGAGGCAACTTCCGCTCTGGATCCTACCGCTGAAGCTATTGTTCAAGCTGCTCTAGATAAAGTTTCTCAGTCCCGAACAACAGTGCTCATTGCCCACAAGCTTTCGACTGTCAAGAAGGCGGATAACATCATTGTCATGAACAAAGGTCAAGTTATCGAACAGGGAACTCACGAGTCGCTCCTAGATACAAAGGGGCAATACTGGAGTTTGGTTAATGCTCAAAGCCTCTCTCTTGCAAGTGACGATTCTTCTTCCGATACCGATAAGGAAACTGATACACAACCAGCCGAGATTTTGGAGAAGCATGCAACTACCAAATCAACTCACAGCAAAGTTCCCCACGAAGTTGCTGCCGAGTCGGAGGATGTAGCTCGAAAATTCTCCCTGTTCAAATGCCTTCTGATTATATTCTACGAACAACGACGTCATTGGCTCTTCTTCCTTCTAGGAGGCATTGCCTCCGTCGTCAGTGGCGGTGCATTCCCAGCCCAAGCCATTCTCTTTTCTAGAATTGTGACTACATTCCAGCTACCGAGAGATCAGTGGCAGGAGAAAGGGGATTTCTGGGCATTGATGTTCTTCGTCCTTGCACTCTGTATTCTCCTGACGTATGCGTCAATCGGGTTTTTCTTGACAGTTGCCGCCTTCCGCTCCTCAAAGTTCTACCGCAGCGAGTACTTCAAAGCCATGATCTCGCAGGATATTGCATACTTTGATAAACCTGCTAATTCCTCTGGCAGCCTTACTGCACGCCTATCAACTGACCCTCAGAACTTGCAGGATCTTCTCTCGTCCAACATTGGCCTCATCCTAATCGTTATTGTCAGCCTTCTCGCTGTTTCCCTCTTAGCCCTTGTTACCGGCTGGAAATTAGCTCTTGTCTCTCTATTCGGGTGTCTCCCTCCTCTCTTCCTGGCTGGCTTCATCCGTATGAGAATGGAGATGCAGGCCCAGGATAAGAACGCCAAACTATACTTGGAGAGCGCGCGATTTGCCTCCGAGGCCGTCAACTCCATTCGTACTGTTTCATCTTTGACATTGGAGTCTACCGTATATAACAACTACGGCGATAGACTGAAAAGGCCAGTGGCTAGATCTCTCAAATACACTGCCATTGCGATGATATTCTTCGGCTTCTCGGATAGTGTCGACACCGCCGGTAAGTCTCCTCTGTCTACCTACAGTACGCATCTAATTGTTGTTCTTTACTGACGTTATCAATAGCTATGGCGCTGGCATTCTGGTATGGTGGAAGGTTGATGTCATATGGCGAATACGATGCCCAGCAGTTTTTTGTCATTTTCATCGCGGTGATTTTTGGCGGACAGGCTGCCGGATTCATTTTTGGCTTCACAATGAGTAAGCTTCTTCCCGCGAACTGATTTGAAAATGATAAACTGACTTGCCCATTTTAGATACTACCAAAGCTCATGCTGCTGCAAATCATATCATACATCTTCGAGGACAGGTCGCTCCGATCAATGGTTCAACTGGTGAAGAACCTGCATCTACGGAGGATTCAGATGTGGCCGTGGAGTTCAGAAACGTATCATTCAGCTATCCCACTCGTCCTGACCAGCCTGTCCTTCGGAAAATTAACCTAAATATCCGTCACGGCCAGAATGTCGGTCTTGTAGGGCCATCCGGATGTGGAAAGACAACTATGATTGCTCTTCTCGAACGTTTCTACGACGTCACCTCTGGAGATATCCTGATTAACGGAAAACCATTGACCGATATTGATGTGACCAAATACCGTGAAACCGCCAGCCTTGTGTCCCAAGAGACCACGCTGTACCAAGGTACAATTCGGGAAAACATCCTTCTCGGTGTTACCCGAGATGTTCCTGATGAAGAAATTCACCAAGCCTGCAAGGACGCAAATATCCATGACTTCATAATTTCTCTTCCGGAAGGCTACAATACCGAAGCCGGATCCCGCGGCCTTTCATTCAGTGGAGGCCAAAGGCAGCGTCTCGCCACTGCAAGGGCCTTACTTCGAAACCCAGACTTTCTCTTCCTTGATGAAGCCACCAGTGCCCTTGACACCGAAAGTGAACGTGTTGTCCAAGCTGCCCTGGAACACGCCAAGAGAGGCCGAACTACTATTGCCGTTGCTCATCGACTCAGCACCGTCCAAGACTGTGATGCAATTTTCGTGCTCGAAGCTGGCAAGATTGTGGAACAAGGTACCCACCAAGAGTTATTGAGGCGGAAGGGCCGATACTTTGAAATGTGCAAGGCCCAGAGCCTCGACCGTGAAGCATGATACCCATGCTCGCCCTAAAAAAAAAAAAAGACGAACTAAAAATATACCTCTCCCATCTAGTCACAATCCTTCACTCATGTTACTTATAATGTCTCAAAATTTGCGTTCTTGTTCATAGTTTATCATCAGCAGTCTGCAGCGGCAACCGCATTTGTTATATTTAGAACATTATTTCACTAGGTAATCAGGATATATTTATGTTTATTGAAGAACCATATCTCGATTAGTTACGCTCTTGGTGTAACTTGAGCCAAAAGCATGGCAAACTAGTTAAAGTACATCGTTTCACAGTGGCTAATATATACCTTGCAAGAAGCCGGACGTGTTTCAGCCGCATTCTTGCCTAGTTATTCTATTGTCGAAACTCCGAAGACCGAGAACTGATTTATTTCAGTTATAACCCTGATACCCCACGGATAAATACATCAAAACCTTTCCAGTACCTTTATAACTCATAGTCTTTAGAAATTGATTCCAATCCTTTGCATGATCGTTATATTTGAGAGTCGAAAGTCTTCAAACGCTCCAGGGGGGGTGCAAATAGCCAATGAAGTATATTTCCTAAAACGGCTTAGCAGCCTTTAGCTAACAAGCACAACAGTGGGACACACTAAACAGTAACCTTAACATAGCTTCCACCACATTGGCGATCTCCCTCAATTTTGCAGGGTACATCAAGGGCTTTGAGAAAGCGGCCCCGTCCGATGAATCCGCATATGCGACCTGACTCAGGCGACCGCTCGACTCCGATGCTATGTAGCAGCCCATTAGGAAGTTTTGGAAGCAATTCCAGCTTCCTTGAAACCCGCTGGTAGTCACCAAATAGCTCATGGGCGCGTATATCTTCTCCAGTCAAGATTCCATGACCCAAAGTGACACAAATGTGGTCCTCTACCATAATGGCATGTGCCTCAGGGTTAGAATCAGGCTCAAGCAACACTGAATAGATGTCTCCGGAAAAGGATTGAAGATGTTCTTTGGTTATATTAAAAGGGAACTCCCATGCATTTTGAATTCGCATTGGATGCCATGGCGTGATCTGGAGTGTGCCGATTCTGCAGATGTCGATGTGGTTCACGCTAGTCTGAAGGACAGCCCTGACTTCCCGCGGTCCGTGTGGAGTCCATACTGACATGCCGGGACGAAGATTCTCAAGAGAAATGGTAGCATTGATAACCTCACTTTCCTTGCTGGAGATTCGGATATGGCAGTCTCCTGTAAAGCAAGGTCCGCTGGATCGGTTGTATTGAGACATACGTACTGGACGGTAAGGTGCTCCTGAGGATGACGGTCGTAATGGCTTAGGAGGTGGTAAGTTGTCAAACACTCCATCTAGCTCGGTCCGACAATTACAGAACAGAGGAGAAGCCTTGCCGTACATCAATGGGCCTGGATCTTTGAAGCTATTGCACATTTGGTTTACATGTGCATTGAGGATTGAGAGGACTTTCAGGAAATATTAGTAGAGTCAAGAATAATTGAGAAACTTAGGTGATGCTTACGGTAGTGCTCACCCCAACGGTGGTAGAATTCCGCGGATGACAACGCCATGCCTATTTGTCCATGCGGTAATTCACCAGCGATATCTTCAATAAGGCTCCGGTTGTAATCATCAGAGTGATCGAGACCTTTGATTTCAGTAGCCAGCCTTTCTAGTTTCTTTCGCATGTCTTCGATGCCAGTCAAAGGGAATCGGAAGTTCTCTGCTGTATCCTCAAGTGGATGGAAAATCCTTAGAAGTGTACAAAGCCTTGAGCGCATATAATGGTAGTCGCTCACAGCCCGAGGTACTGAGACTTCGTCGATGTTGATCACCTTATGCACCTGGATCTCCTTTGTCTCACCACCAACGGCATAAACAAGTTTGCCTCGTATAGTGACTGCGCGATTATTCAATACTTTACTGTGATGGATAATAATATCCCGTGACTGGCCATATTGAAGGCTTCCTAGCCTCAGTAATATTTCATTGCCAGCTGGCGTCTCTAGTTCCAAGCCAGGTCTGCTTCCTGAATCCACACTTAGCTCTGACGAAGGATCGTCCTGGAGAATAAGTTGTGCCTGTGGTGTAAATGTTGAATATAAATTTGCAACAGCATGGACAAACACAGTTCCTATGTCCATCATTAGTTACATTCCTATTAAGATCACTAGACCAAGCTATACATACCAATCATACCAGCATCCGGGATAAAAGCGAAGGTTCCACCGCCGATTTCAGCAATGGACTGTAACAGTGGTGAGCGGAGGTAGTACCCAAAGCCGAATGTATGGATCAATGGTAAGGTTCCTGTTAAGTTATGGTGGTCCAATAGTGTCTGGCGTAATTTGGGAACATATCCTTGAGCAGGACACATATGGTTGGGAGCACCTAGAAAGAATAATTAGTTTCGGAGAGCAGGACAAAAGTAAAAACGGAGGGATACGCACCATCCGTCAAGACAAGCAGAGACTGTATCTTCCCCTGGGCAGGATTCGTGGCGAGGATGTTGAGGCCTTTTTTCATCCCATGCCATAAATTGGTTGAGCTCTTGCCGTAAAGCTTGTCAATGGCACCCAACACAGTTGATTTGTTCTCTTTATTCATGGAATCAAGTTCAAAGGCAACCTATATGACAGTAGATAGTTAGCACTAGCTAAACTTACTGGAGAAGATTCTATCGTCCTTACATTAACCTCCGTGCAGAAAGTAACCACTGCAAGCCTATCCTTTTCATTGAGTGTTTCGATGATTGTCTTGGCGGCATGCTTCGTCAAGTCCAAGATGCTCAGACCAGTGTCCTCGCCGCCTCTCTCACCAGTCGGTATGGGAGCTGCGGAATTCATACTCCCGGAGATATCAATCACAAGAACGATGTCGCAAGGAACATGTGGGACATCGTTCTCTGGCTTGAGAGGAGGCTGGATGGAGACGATCATAGAATCCCTGTTGGGAATGGAGTATATGCTCAGTATCGGCTCTTGCGTCAGATTCTCTTCTATCGTGAACGTGCCAGCGCTAGTAGGCCGAAATGGAATCTGCTGGCCGTCGATAATCTCAAAACCGTCGTCACTAGAACTAGTAGCCATATTGTCTACTAGTTATACTTGGACAGAGAAATTTGAGTAACGAAGAGTAGTTATGAAGGAAAAATGGAAAGATTTGTGACATTTAGTGAATATCACATCCACTCTGCAGGATTTCCCGCCTTTTATAGGCAGCAACGCCAACATGGGAGAGGGGTAGATATCTAGTCATCCATTTTCAGCCTCCGCTTGGGCTCCTTCGTGAGGCTGAAAGAGGGCGGGCTGAGCCTCATGGGCAGTGACTGTGGCTGAATGAGGCTATTTCAAGGCGATCGTATTAACGACCAGACTAGCCGCTCGCCCCCGTCTTCCCGTGTCAGGCTCGAGAAAACGTCCCTTGCCAACCCCAACATCCTTCAGTGTGTGGTCCTTCTGTCTTGTTCTTCTTGTTCTTCTTTTATACCCGTCGAGGAAGAAGAGGAGTTGAAAAAAGCTCAGCACGTGATTCCAAATGCACGGGCCGTTTCTCCAGAAAATAGACGAATCTGGTTAGTGCAATTTTTCCCTCCCTTTTTGATCTGGCGAAAACGCGTATCAACAAGCGATTGTTATATCATATCTGGAAAATAAACGGAGAGATTTATGTATATTGCGGGACCCTCGGAGGCCGAAATGCTGCACTCCGAACTGATACCTCTACTCTCCTGGTCTGGGACATGGGAAAGAAAGATATAATTTCTGGCCTCAGCTATTCAGCATGTTAGATATTTCCAACTGGAAACTATCCAATGTCCCATCATATATACTATGATGTATTTGAGTACATATACTGCTTACAATTGACACTACCTTATCAGTGATGCCCAATTATTCATCCTCCCATTTTTACATTCCGGATCTATGGTATTCTTCATCACAAATAACGGCTCATTTCACTAACCCTTTACTTATGATCTGCTCTGGCTCCAGCTTTGATCTTCTAAGACTTCTAGTAGCTTTATTTCTGCCTTGGGGAGTCTGGATTATGTTAACGGCCACCAAACGCATTGCTCAGAATATCTGGTCACCTATTCCAGGGCCGAACCTTGCCAAGTTCAGCAACTTATGGATCCAGTATAATGTTCTGAGAGGTTCGTGTTATTCACTTTCATGGGTTAAGTCACACTTTTCTTTCTAATTACTGATCACCAAAGGTGTAGACTCTGGTCGGGTTTGGGAGACTATCCATAAACTACACCTAAAATATGGGCCCGTTGTCAGGATAGCGCCGAATAGTGTATCGGTTTGTCATCCAGATGCGTTGCGGACAATTTACCATGGCCCACGCGGGTTGAATGGGGGTGTCTTACTATCAACTCTGCGCCAATATAACTCCGAAAACCTAGTCAGCACACTCAATAGTGATCTTCACTTTTCTCGGCGAAGACATGTTTTCGGCTTGTATTCTGCCTCGGTTGTCGCAGGGTCAGCCCACCAAGCAATTTTCAGGACATACATTAACCAATTCATGGAAAGGATCGAGAATGAAACCTCCAGCTCACCGTCTAGGGTGACAAACGGGTTGGAATGGATAACATGGCTCACTGGTGATATCATGATTCGCTTGGTATATGGGAATGAACACAACATTAGACTCCTGGCAGATAAAGGGTCAAGAGACATAATGTCCGAACTTGTTCCTAGAACAAGTGCATCTAACACTACCGCATTAGAGGCAATAGCAACGCTATACCCAAGTCAGTGCATTTCCACAGTCTAATCCTTTCTGCCTTATTTTGACACTTACCTCGACAGGGGCTATTTCACGAATTCGTGCTTTTTTTCCTGAGAAATCAGCGATGGCAGAGTTTGGAATGAGACAGGTAGAGGCCGCTCTATCGAACAAAGCCAAACAAAAGGCAAGTGAAACAAATGGATCGCCCACCACACATCTTAGTCGTCTTGTGGGACTTTTCCATAGTGAAGGGCCTAGTCCTGAAATACCCGACCAAAGATATATTGCTAGCGATTGCTTGGATCATTTCATTGCTGGTAAGCCCCCAAGGAAATACTTATACAAGTTCTTTGATAGACCAATTAAACAATACTGAAACGTGGCATCATACAAGGTACTCGGACGACGAACGATTTTCTTGGTGCTATGCTTTGGCGGCTCTCCCACCCTGAAAATGAAGCTAGTCAAGAAAAACTCCGTCAGGAGCTTCATGAGGCGGGCATCAAGCCTGGGGAACATCCAGACCTCTCGACCCTGCAAAAGCTTTCGTACTTAAACTGTGTCCTCAAAGAGACACTACGCACAAACCCACCAATTCCGATACAGCTGCCAAGAGTAGTGAAAGACGATGAAGCCCTAACTGTGATGGGATTCATGATAGAACCCGGAGTATGTCATGATCATTCAATTCATACTCACGGTCTCTCAAACATAGCTAACATTGACGCTCTACAGACCAATATCGCATCTCAATCATACACTCTTCACCAAGACCCTAACCCGTACCCAGACCCGGAGAAGTGGAAGCCAGAGAGATGGGAAATCTCCCCAAAATCTGACGAATACCGCCAGATGCAGCGTTCATTTTGGCCTTTCGGCTCTGGAGCGAGGATGTGTACTGGAATGAAGTAAGATACCACTGACAGACTTCCTTTCCTGATAGGCATCGAATACTAATCAGTGTCTTTACATCGATAGTGTTGCTTGGGCTATGAGTCGATCGATCATTGCCAGAATCTTTAGTACATACAGTGTGTCATTGGATGACATATGGCTGGATGAGAATGGTATACTGCTTTCCCCTGAGAAAAGGAAAGATCTGTACCCTTCACTACCTAACCAACCCCTTAGGTTTAAGAAGATCTGAGTTGGCAAAAGAGATTTAAAACAATACCAGGCTGAAAGCCTAGGATTTGTACTTTAGGACCTTATCTCCACACAATATAGAGCCTCCTCTCTTGTCCAATACTGCATCCTTCCTTTATTCTGTAGTAAGTAGAAACATCCAACCTCTGCAGAAAGTAATGATGAGTCTAAGATCGTAAATGGTGCATATACTACACTTCGGGTAGCCCTAATATGGTCTATATACATATGTCTATCTGATTTCAATAAATAGCCAAATATAATAGAACACCGGAAATGCCCAAAAAAAAAACATGTGAAGAGCAGGATGCAACAAATGGTCATGAAAATATCAAGTATCCGGTCTGCTCACTGGTATGGAGGTTATTTATCTTAATAATCACAGGATGATTTGCTTTCGCTCTTCACTCATACACGAGTATAAATCATAAAGTTTGATGGAAGAGTAGTCCCCACCAATGCTAAGACAAAAAATTTTGCGGGAATAGGGAGAAAAACACAGCCTTTTCAAGGCCGGAGATGGTGTTGGGAGCGCCGTTTCGTCGGGCTCAGGTTAGGGGGAGGGAATGCACTTAACTGTGGGGTTATAGGAGATGCATCCTCGCTATCACCAATGTTTCCTATCAATTTACCCTTGACTCTTTGATCGACCTTAAAAGCAGAAAAGAATGTTAGAAATTCTGTTCGAACATTAAAGAGAAGCAAGAATAAGCAAAGAGGACATGCCTTATCAAGCTCATAGTTCTTCATGAGCAAGCTCAAAGGGATCAAAGGTATGCAAGCGCAAAGGGCAATGGTCAAGAGAATCTGCATAGTTTCTTCATAAGAGCGAATGATGGCATCCCTAGTTGGCGAGCCCATTGGGTATGATAGGGCTTTGGTCAACTTTCCGAAGATTTCAGTGGCTTCTCCCTTTGTTTCATCTGGGAGATATTTCACTAGTTTGTGTGGTAAATAACTAGTCCAGATGGCACCCGATACAGCAGACCCCACAGCTCCGCCCATTTCGAGGGCAGTGAGAAACATAGCAGTAGCTGCAGCTACCTGTTGGTGATTTGCCGAAGCTTGTACACCAAGTTGAACGGGGACATTAACGAGTCCACCACCTAGACCAATAATGGATTGGACGACAAGAATTTGCAGCGTGGACTTTCCAGACTTGTGAGTGAGCAGCATCAAGGCCAGTCCGAGGATGTAAACGACACAGCCGAAAGTAACAAACGGACGATATCTTTTTGAGTATTTGATCATGAAGGAGACGACGAGGGCTGCAATTGTGGACATGAAAGAGAAGGTTTGGGTGATTCTCCCCGCAGTGACAACAGGTTTTCCTTGCACCACTTGCAGGTAAGAGTAGAAATAAGGCTGAACAGAGAAATAAAAAGCCACTATTGGTAAAGAGTGTTAGTAAGTTTTAAACCAGAATAGAGGTTATGCTATGAAGAGGAACCATACTAAAATAGAAGAAAGCCAATGCACATCCAGCGAGGGCTGATCTCTGGCGAAGGAGGCCCAATGATAGCAAGGGGTGCGGAGCAAGGCGTTTGGATGTCTCCCAGAATGGATATGCTATCAAGCATACGCCTCCGATAACAATCATGGCAATGATACCTCCATTCCGCCAGGTATCCTTTGCATGGGCAGCCAAAGTCAGGGGGACAAGAATCAACGTCACCGCCGCAGATAGTAAAATCAGACCAAACACATCCAACTCAAACCATGCGCTGCGAAGGATCTTCTTCAACCCTTTACCCTTCCATGGTTTGGACTTTAACAGGTTCAATTTCTGGGCCTTCCTCTGGTTGATGTATAATGATAGAGCCAAGGGGAGGAATGCTGACGGCAGAAGTACAGCCCACATGCCATATCCCCACCTCCAATTGAGTTGCTTGAGCACCCAAGACGCAATCATCGGTCCAAGCCAAACGGTAAATAAAAAGGGTATATCCGGAAGATTAGCAAATATTGCTCTGTTCAGCAGATTACTACTATCTGCAATGAATACTTGTTGTAATATCTGTAGTCCAGTTGATCCTGCGGAGTAAAATATCTGGGCAGAGGCATAGGTCTCAACGTTTTGTGATGCAGCCATCTGTATGTATCCAAGAACATAGATAAAAACAGCGATGCAGAATGCCTCAAAGCGACCAAAGACATCTGCAAATTTGGCCATAGGTGGTTTTATGACAGCTAAGGGGGCCCAGTTAGCAGTTTATGGCTTCAATGAAAGATAATGTACTAACCATTAACTACATTTTGTATAACCAGTACCGTTGAAATAAGGGAGTGTTTGCTAAAGGAGCTTGTAGCATAGGCGGTTAGGGAGGCCACTGTTTGGACCTCAAGGGAGGTGCAGAACGCCATAAGCATGATCCTATAATATGCATACACTGTTAGCTGGGGATGATTCTTGTGTCACATTTTTAAACTGGAGTAAGCCACCTACCCAAGATATGCAATTACTAAAGACCTCTGTGTCCATGTCTTGCTGATAGCTTCTATCTTGCGGACGCCATCCTGTACTTCACTATTCAATGACGACGGGTAAGGACTGATATGCAGATGTTCATCTACCCCTTCGGCGTCATCTGTATCCTGTAGCAGCCGGTCTGCCTCCGCTGTGTCATCCATCCTATCGTCTGGCTCGCAGCTACCATAGGATGGCACTGTTCTGGTATATAATCCCATCACTACCGATGGAATGCGGAGAGAGACAAGATGACGAGAGAGAAGGTGGGAGAGAGGGAGACAAAAGGAGAGGAACGAGGTAGAAGTCGTTAACCGTAATCACGAAGTACCGCTAGGTCCGTTGGAAAACATCCGACCGTGCTCGCCGACTTGCTCGAAATAGGAGAGGTGTCGTGTGGGTGCGAAGGATATATAAAAGCTACCCATCTATGTATCCCGTGGGTCAAGGGGGAAGTCACCCCCTTTGCTTCTCCGGATGCAAACTCAATAAGTACCTGCGCACTTGAGTCAGATATTAGGCCGCGGCCAGCAAGGTCCTAACGAACTACCCCGTAGTCGTAGTCATGCAGCTGATTCAGGAAGGTTGTCCGGCGCACGAGATCGAACAGGGACGGAGAGCGGAAGTGTGTTTCATTTCCTGCACCCGGCGACAGAAAAATTATTTATCTACGACTCCGGCCGGGTGCGAGGAAAGCTGAGGCTGCACGAGCGTAGGGAGTGACAGGTACGAGGCTAGAAAATTGGTCAGATGAGGCTTGCAGGCGTCTCCGCAAATCAGATGCTGGCTTGACAGATCGGCCCTTCACGTTTTCAGCAACAGGACTCGTGGCGGGCGTGAGTCGGTCGAGCGTAGAGCGACGGACAGGTCTTTTCTGCTTGCGGTAGTCGGCGCATGCACAGCAGAGGAGTGTCGCTGGCATGAAGACAGAAGCTCGCCGGACTGAGATGCGCCCTTTCGGAGGGAAGAAAAAAAAGCCCCCATGCGAAGTATCTGGAGTTTTTGCGGACGAACTAACGACGGCTTTGCCTCCCGCCGCGCAGACACAAGATGATCTGATATGATAAGATTAGGCCGCAAGGGTGGGGAGGACTATGCATGCTTATGTCAGCTTTTAACGGCGAGCGATTGGTTACACTGCAACCGTTATACTCGTTACGGTTTAGCGTGCTGCGGAATACGGTCTTGGCGGATACGTAAAGGCTAAGCCCGAAGAGGAAGTCATCGGCTCTGGTCGGATCTGATAGCAAAAAGGCCCGTTTAGTTCCGATCCGCGGCCAACGTTTGAATTAAAAATATAACAACAACGCAGAGAAAGAGAGAGAGAAGAGACATTGCAGATGTGATGCTATACTAGTACTAATAGCAAGCGAAAAAGCAAGAGCAAGATGGTGTGATGAGCTAGATGTCGAGCTGGGAGAAAGACACGTAGAGATCGCCCAGCTCGGCCGCTGACGACGGGCGGCAGACGTACACGCCGACCCAGCACTCGAGCTGCTCCTCGTCCTCGAACAGCCAGGTCACCTCCCTCATCGGCGTCCTCGCGCCGTCCTTGCCAACTGCATACACCCACAGCGTCTGGTCCCTTGCCCGTCGCTCCATCTCGATCGTCACACCAACCCCGTCACCCTCATCATCGGCACCGGCACTGTCGCCAGCACTCTGTCCACCCGGCGGCAGAGGAGACAGGCTCCAGTCTGCCCATCGGTCTCTTGCGACTGTACTGCATCGCGGCATGCCCTCGACGAACTCGATGCCCGCCTTGATCCACTTCCTGTCTTTGTCGGAGTCATCATGTCCGCCACCACGCCGGTTGAGGGCAAGAATCAGGCCGCCTTGGTCGTAGAGAGTCGTCCACTTGGCTGAGACTCGCACGCGAGCCCTCTGGAAGGACGCGAGAGGCATCGTCTTGTAGAGAACCGGGGCATTGAAACGGTGGGTCGAGGGCGGTTTGGCCCAGATGTCGGTGGACGGCCGGGCCTTGATGGTGAAGCTGCTGGCCAGCTCCTCGCGCGAGGGAACCGGCTGCTCGGAGTTCTGGAACTGCCAGCCTGACATCATAGCCTGCTTGGACGATTCAGAGCACGTCATGACTTTTTCTGTCTGCTAGGATAGAGTGTAGGAAGAGGCTGTTGCGGACGCCTCCATGCTTCAATCGTAGATCCGGAAGCCAGCCTGTCGTAGATATAGTGGTTCAACCCCGCAAGCCGCCCTTCGTCCCCCACCTTGAGAAGCCCACACAAACATACAACAACACATACTGACAACTATACGAACACACGAGGGATCCAGACGAGGGATCCAGACGAGGGATCCAGACGAGGGTCTGTATGTTTAGTGGAAGACGGCCACACAGGATCAGGAGCGTGACAATTTTTAGCCAAAAAAAAAAAAAAAAAAAAAAAAAAAAAAAAAAAAAAAAACCGGACGCGGCTGGGCGAATTCCTGCTGGGGAAGATGATGGAGCAATGCCAGGTAACGCGGCCTCATTGGCCGGGGGATCTCGAAGCTGGTGAGAGTTGGGTCTGCAGGGCGGCCGGATGGACTCCGGGCTCTTGGGATTTGGAGTCAAGGCGAGCGGCCAATCCGGGCGATGCTGGGCCAGCGACAAGGGGGACGATCAAATACATCTACAAAGGCCAAAGGCCGTCGTCTCTGGTGTGCTTGGAGACTGCCCGGGATTTGACATGGTTGACTCGGAGAAATAGTTTCACGATCTGTCCCTTTATTTAAAGAAAACAGCACAGCGTAAGGGATGGGCGGTCTAGTCTGTATGGAGTACGGTGTTTTTAATATGCTCTCTCGCCTCCCCCGGGGTCGACGAGCGTACTTACGAAGCCGAGATATAAGCTCGTTGTCAGCAGCAGCAGCTACTACCTCTTTTCGTACATATATTGCGGCGTGTGCCCAGAGTAGAGAGGATTTTCCCCCCGGCCGCCGTTGAGCAGGGGGAAACGGTGCTTCACAGCCATTGCGGCGCAGAGAGAGCAAAAGGAGAGAACGGCTGGGAAGCCAACTGGCCGGGATAATTAACCGTTGTAATATCTAAGTAACCGTCAGGCCACGAGCCCCATGGGTAAATTCGCAGACATGGTTGTCGAAGTAGTTAAGTATCAGCTTACTCCTGGCATCCCGGGCGCATCCCAGGTTTTTCTCCAGTAAGAGAAACATGTTCCAGCCCGCGGGCTCGATACTCAGGGAGTAAGTTGACGTCCAAAGGGGGGGGCCACACTCTGAGCAGGAGAGGAAACACGGGGTAGAGACACGTCGGTGGTTTGGATGTCTCTCAGCTGAGCGATGGCCTGATAGCTATTCCATCCCTGAAGTCTACTTTGCTCCCATGCCGTAGGACGAGATGGAAGCAAGAAACGACGAGGGCAGGGAAGCCAGACGAAGTGAAGCGGTGTCAAAAAAAGGGGGTCTTGTCTGCTTTGCTGTGGAACGCGGGTCCCATCACATCTGAGCCAGCATGTGTTGACCGAGATATTCCGTGCTCTTCCTGCTGTCACTGCTGGATGGATGCCTAACCAGTGAGTGAGTGCCTGTCGAGGTGTTGTCCTTTGCAGTAAGAGTGGCCAGCAGGGCGTCCAGTAAGAAACCTGTCTGCGATCTTCCGTAGAGCTGTAGAGCTGTGCAGCTGTATCCCCCCGGGGCCTCTATGAAAGCGTTGGAGAAACAAGCAACCCCGAAAGCCTCAAAATCCGATCTGTCATGCAATTAAGGGCACAGTTATTACCTATTATTATTATTATTATTATTATTATTATTATGATTATGATTATTATTGCTGCCCTTGATAGACACACCTAACAACATCCCCGGAGCTTGCTTTTTCTCGTGGCGCTCGGTCTGCAGCCTGTCACTCTTGAGCTTAACGACGCTTCTCTGTCGCTTGTCTGTCTGAGGCCCTCGTCGTTGCCGCAACGTCCAACCGGTGCTGAGCTGTCAATCGCCATCGCCTTCGGGACGTCAGGTCGCAAGCCGCTTCTTCGTCTGTCCGCACCGTCTCGTCGCTGTCCTCCTCCCCGTCGCGCAATAACACAACAACACCGCCTGCTATCAGACAGAGCAACGGGCATCAAGAAGCATCAGAGCTGACACCGTCGTGGGTTCGTTGCTTCATCTTCACCTTAATAACCACCGTCCTTCACCGTCGGCTTCATCTCCCCCGGTGGCCCCATTCAAGGCGCACCGTCACTTAATTTAACACCACCGCGTCCCAAAAGGAGACCAGCAGGAGAGAGAGCGCCTTGGGGCCCTGTCGAGCCAGCCGTCGTCGCCTGGAGACCATCGCGAGAGAGGGGCCGTCCGTCTGAGCCTGCGGGTTGTTGACTGGCCCAGCTCCAGTTTTTAGTCAACTTAAGCAGCCAAAAAGTCGCAGCGACAGAGCAGGAAGAAAAAAAAAAAAAAAAAAAAAAAAAAGCCCCGAACCCTTTTGCAACATCATCATAAACTAACCTCAAGACCTCAAACCCGCCTCACTAAATAACTGCTTGCTTGCTCGCTGTCTGCTGTCTCTCTCGCCCGCGGCCAACTCGCTCTCACACACGATCTGCCTGTCTCTCTTTCTCGCTGTCTCCTTCGTCGTCGCCCAAGCTCGCAGCTCGCCTCTTCACTCTCACTCTCACTCTCAGTCTCCTCCCTCAAGTCACCTCTTGTCCCGCCACTGACCGTCCAGAGTCATCCGGCCTCGCTCCTTGGTCACTCTCCAGACGCTGCCTCGCGTTGAAACCAGGCCTTGGACGCCGTGTGCCCAATTCACTTCCTGCTCGGCGACCTCAACCTCCCTCGCTTCGTCCGCCTTTTCTCCTCTCCTCTCCTCTCCTCTCCTCTCCTCCTCCCTTTCTCCCACCAACACAACCATCCCTCGCACACCGCAAGTTGCCTCGACGTCCTCAGGGTCTTCTCCAGCTTCGTCCTCTCTCTCTTCCTCCCTCTCGACTCCAGATTTAAAAAGCAAAGAGAGACCAGAGTTGTAGCTCAACATGGTTGTTGCTACTATCAAGTAAGTCCTCGCAGCCTCCCCTCAGCTTTTTGGTTGACGTTGAGATAAGCATCATTTCTCGCGTGGAGAAATAAGCATTAAGCATGCTTAAAAAAAAAAAAAGATATAAACATATCCCAAGGCACAAGCACGAGCATAAGATGAACAAGATCAGAGACTGACGCCTCCTGCTTCTCTCTTATAGGTGTGTGGTCGTTGGTGACGGTGCCGTTGGAAAGACCTGCCTGTTGATCTCATACACTACCAACAAGTTCCCCTCTGAATATGTCCCAACTGTCTTTGATAACTATGCTGTGACAGTAATGTAAGTCGCATTGCCTTCCTTTTGCTCTCTCCTGCTTTATACATACAAAACTCACGCGTTTTGTTATTGTTGTTGCTGCTGCTGCTGTTACCTCTGCTCTGGCTGTCATTTCACTGCACGCTGGCTAACTCATGCTGCTAGGATTGGAGATGAGCCATACACGCTGGGCCTCTTTGATACCGCCGGTCAGGAGGATTATGACCGCCTACGCCCACTCTCCTACCCGCAAACCGATGTCTTCCTCGTCTGCTTCTCGGTCACCTCGCCAGCTTCCTTTGAGAACGTACGCGAGAAATGGTTCCCCGAGGTCCGCCACCACTGTCCAGGCGTCCCTTGTCTCATCGTCGGCACCCAGACGGATTTAAGAGATGACCAGACCATCCGGGATAAGCTAAGCAAGCAGCGAATGCAGCCAGTTCGCAAAGAGGACGGCGACCGCATGGCCAAGGAGCTCGGAGCAGTCAAATACGTCGAGTGCTCTGCCCTGACCCAGTACAAGCTCAAGGACGTCTTTGACGAGGTCAGTCTAATTCGCTTTTTGATACCTTTCCTCCTGATCCATAGTCTGTATTTACCAACATTGCTAACTCGATCAATCCAGGCCATCGTTGCTGCCTTAGAGCCCAGTCCTCCAAAGAAATCGAGCCGCTGTCTACTCTTGTAGAGTCACCCAGCCAGCACAGGGAGAAGGTTACAGTGCCATCTGATTTTGATACATCGGTTACAATCTCGCGGACAATGGGTGTTGATCGGGCTCTTGCGTATTTATCCGCACAATTCGCTATTTAGATGCTCCTAAACTGGTATCTCACGATGCTTTCCCTCCTCCCTCCCCCCTCCCCCATCTTCTCCCTCCCTTCTTCTCCAAGGCTCCTTTTCCATCTCTCTTTCTTTAAACATCCTCACACCCAGAGTTACATCACAAATCACATAATGGGGGTTATGGGCGGCGTGCTAAGGACAATTTGAATCGGATGAATCCGTTTTTATGACTGTGCTTTTTTAATTCTACTCTTTTTGTTCGTTTTTTTGCTTTGTTTCCCCCCTTTATTCCTTACCTATTATCACCCGTCTGCGTATCTTTGTTACTTGATTTGCAATAACCCTGGCTCTATTTTCCCTTCCTTTTTTTCTTCTTCGCATGCGGCTTGTCTGTCCCCTGCTTTTTACCTATCCCCTCGAAATTCGAGATGCATGCTATGCTGGTTTGGGAGGGAACCTTCACGACCGAGAAAGGTGACATGCCTGCCCTCCCCCTTCTGGTCTTGATCTGTTTTACTATTCCCCCTTTTTATTAATCCAAGATGACAGAAACTCGCTGGGCCAATACAACAAGTGTTTTTTCTCTTCCCTCCCCGATTCCCTTGTGTTTTTTTCCCCTCGCTCTTCCTCTCTGTCTGCCTGCCCTGTCGATTTCCCGTCTACTTTTTATGAAGTTTAGATTTTATGATGCGCAGATGCCTTGAATGAAAAAGTGTTCGAAAAAAAAAAAGAAAGAAAGAAAGAAAGAAAGAAAGAACTAGTATATACATATAAATATTACTGTAATGTGAAAGGTCAGGTTGCCCATACATCACCAGCTTCAAGCTCAAGGCAAGTGAAACTGACTATTTACAAAAGGTGTGACGGATCGCCGTGTAAAGTCGAACCTGTCCCGTTCTATAAAGTACGACTCACATTATTAGACAAATAACATATTTAATGATCCATCAAAGCTCGTCTTTTCCCGCTTCTGAGCCCGTTGCACCCTCTTGATATGACTCCATCACACCCTCCTTGACGGACTTGTTGCTCTTCCTACCAAACCAGCCCCCGACTGTGTCTGGATCTTCAACTCCGAGTTTCACCATGCTTGCAATGATCTCGTTGACTACATGCGCAGCCGCAAGAGCAGTCCCTCCCGCACGATGATCATAGCTGGGCGAGACCTCCACCACATCGGCTCCAACCACATTCAGCTTCTCCAGCCCACGGAGAATCCTAGCAAGCTCCCTGGACGTCCAGCCACCTGACTCCGGCGTGCCTGTTCCAGGTGCAATGCTGGGGTCAAGAACATCGATATCCAAACTGATATAGACAGGCTGGTCCGGGTCGAGACCGACTCGCGAGACAATCGCATCGACCACCCCCTGAGTGCCAATGTCATCCACATCATCCGCGTGGATGCGCATGAACCCTTTCTCTACCCCGGTACGGTAATCTCTATCATCAGATCCGCCGAGATAGGATCGCAGCCCCGCGTGCGCAGACGTGGTGTTTGAAATCAGTCCTTCCTGGCCCGCATGGAACAGCCAGGTTCCGTGGTTGAGACCGTCAACGTCTGGCTTCCAGTACCCGTCGTAACGGGAGGATTCCCACGTGTCTTGGTGTGCATCAAAGTGGATGACGGTGATCGGCTTTTTATAGATCTGGTTCAGCGCTCGCAGGGCCGGCAGGATGATGCTGTGGTCTCCTCCAAGAGTTACGAGCTTGGGCTTTCCGTCTGATATCCTCGCTTGTCTCTTGGACTTGTCGCCCTTCTTTTGCAGCTGGTAGGCAGTCTTCCTCATGCCGAGTTCTAGGAAGGCTTCAAACATCTGCTTTTCTGCTATCCTGTTGTCCATCTGGGTGATGGGGATGTTTCCGCAGTCTATGACTTTGGCCCAGTCCAGGTAAGGGTTGATACCAGCCCGGACATTGTATGAACGGGCTGTGACCTGGCGGCCGCTGGCCTCACGGATTGCTCGAGGCCCAAACCGTGCGCCGGGCCGGTATGAAGTCGCTGTGTCGAACGGCGCTCCAATGATAGCAATGTCGTAAAGCTCATTTGGCTTCGTCAGGCATGGAACATGCTTCAGACCACCAAAGCTGCCCATGGTCGCAAATGCAGACTGCTTCCATTGTTATCATAGGGATATATATAGAATACAAGTGATCCTACAGGCAGCAGAAGAATCATGTACTCACCAACTCCGGCGCCCATTTATGCTCAAGTTCCTCCTGGCTCAGCGGTATCTGTCCCTCGTCAAGGCGACTATGACAGTCCACCACTTGAGCACCGAGGATGACTCCAACCAGAGCAAGCGTCTTGTATTTCAAGTACACCATCATGCCTATCCCCTTTTTTTGTATAGCATGGGGTTGAAAGCAGACAGAAAAGTCGGTGGGAGCTGAACGGGATATATAAATTCTACTCTGTAACTGCTTCGAATATGAATCATCACCTGATATAAACTAGTAGCTCCGGCTCTTATAACCATAACATTAAGTGGGTTTATTCTCCATAGTGTCTGGCTACTAATGACTTGGTATCGGGTAGCTGTGACTGCTGGTCTAAAATCTTCGTTACCGCGAGAAAGCCGACTGCTAGTACCGACAAAACGACACGGAGCAGAAGTTCAAAATCCTATGCCTAGCACTCTTTCTTCCGATCTATACATTCTACCACCAATATTGATTACTCGTTACGTGTTTATTTGCCAGCTGCCTGGACTTCGCTTGCGCCTTAAATCTGGAGAATTAATATTCCGATATCAAGCTCGGGGTCCGGCCGGGGTTCCAATACAAACTTCAAGTTTCATGTATCGACAAATAGCATGTTAAAATAGAGTAAAGATATGTCGAGACTGGGATATACTACCATTGTTGCTTGTTGCACTTGAAGGGAGCCATCTATTTTTGCGGACACTATACAAGGGGTGGAATGCGCCGTGTTGTTGTTACTGGACTGGGTGCTGTAACTCCCCTTGGAGTAGGTAGGTTGCATCCCTATCATGCATTTGTTAATTCACAGTAACTAAAAATGCCTTTTAGGAATAAGACATACATGGAAAAGGCTGCTAGACGGTCACTGTGGAATCATATCTATAAAGGACAGAGATTCAAGATTTGCTGAGCAGCCATGCCAGGTTGCGGGTGTTGTTCCTAAGGGGTCTAAGGCCCAAGGAGGATGGGATGCCTCTGAATGGCTGACCCGAGATGTAAGGCTATGTTCTAAATATGCAAATACCCAAATATCCTTTCTAATAGACATGGTAGGAGCAACGAAAAATGGCTCTGTATTCCCAATACGCCCTGGCTGCTACTCAAGAAGCACTCGAAGATGCAAACTGGATGCCTACCACGGAAGAGTCCAAAGATATGACGGTTAGTAGATACCAAAGCTACAAATATTGAGCTAACATATCTCTAACCTGATAATAAATTAATAGGGAGTGTGCTTGGGCTCTGGTATTGGGAATTTTGATGAAGCATTTAATACTTCTATAGCATATAATACTGGCGTGAGTGATACGCTCTACCTCACGCAAACATAACATCTCTCTTACTTACAGCCGTGATTAGGGATATCGAAAAGTGTCACCGCTTTTCGTTCCTAAGCTCCTTATTAATTTAGGCGCTGGGCATATATCGATGAAATATGGTTTCATGGTATGCATTTTGCACGTTTCCAGCCTCATACTTATCTTGTTTTCTGCGCAATTCATGCATCTTCTCTAACATTACTAGGGCCCCAATCACTCGGTATCAACAGCATGTACGACAGGAGCGCATTCTATTGGTGATGCTTCCCGTTTCATTGCGCATGGTGACGCTGATGTCATGGTTGCTGGAGGAGCCGAATCATGTATACACCCACTAGCTATCGGAAGCTTCGCACGATGTCGGAGTCTTGCTACTGGCTTCAATGACAATCCAGACAGGGCATCCCGACCATTTGACAGAGATAGGCAGGGCTTTGTCGTTGCAGAAGGTGCCGCGGTTGTTGTTTTAGAGGTACCAACTACTATGAACGCTTCCCTGCTTATCCACGATACTTACACCATGCCTTGCAGGAACTCGAACATGCAATATCTCGAAATGCCCATATCTATGCCGAGCTTAAAGGATACGGATGCTCGGCTGACGCATACCATATCACAGCGCCGCATGAGACAGGTAGAGGTGCTTTCTCTGCGATGAAGCGTGCACTTAAAAATGCTGGAGTGCCTCCGAGTAAAATCGACTACATCAACGCTCATGGCACGTCGACTCCCATTGGGGATGCAGCCGAGAATCTAGCAATCAAGTCATTGTTTCTTGGATCTGAAGGTAAAGCCAAAGCTTCAGAAATCAACGTAAGCAGCACAAAAGGCGCTATAGGGCATATGTTGGGTGGTGCTGGGGCAATAGAGGCTGCTTTCTCGATTCTAGCTATTGATCAGGTACGATATTCCTGCTTCTCGATTCTTGCTCATATGCCTAACATCCAGTATCTAGAATGTTCTTCCGCCTACTATCAACCTGGATAATGTAACCAATGAATTTGACTGCAATTATGTTCCCAACAATGCGCTGCAAAGGAATGTCGAAGTTGCACTCACCAATAGTTTTGGATTTGGGGGAACAAATAGCAGTCTTTGCTTTGCCAAATATTAGGGGCACGCTTTTTGCCCGGCTTAGAATGTATCGATACCATGTATAATATCGTTTGGTTGTAAATTATGTCTGGTCTATTGAAAGCATAATGTTTTCAAGTTTCATTTTAACTACTTAACTATTTGCTCCTCGCCGCTTTGATAAGTGATAAGTTTGTATTTCAATTTACCAACACACTTCGTAGGTTCGCCTCAACTTAACTACTATCGGTCCATGTGGTTTTGAATTTGTACTGATCCTTGCGGTCCAGATATACCACTTTGCTGCTTAAGCCGGCCTCCTCCACCGCTTTCTTGAAGTCCGATAGAGGTGATAGAAAGACATCATAATCACTAATAAATGATAAGCAAATATTTGTAGATTACAGGCTCTCCTAGGGTGACTCACTCGTAATGAATGGGAATAGTCATATCTGGACAGACCAGTTTCAGTAGCTCTATTCCTTGCTTTGCATCCATTGTTACCATTAATAAGGGTATATGAGGAGATGGGATGGTTGTGCCTCCAAGGTGGATGAGCATCAAGTCTATCTTTTGGTCAGCGTAGATTTTCGGGATCTCCTTTAACTCATCACACATCAAGGTGTCTCCAGAGATGTAGATTCTATCATTGGCTGTATTAGCTACATTATTTATCGACCCTTCGAGAGCTACTATACCTGTAATTCGTTTCAAAGTCTCCCTCCACATGGTGGTATTGAGTTGTGTGGCCTAGTTCGACCATGCATCCATTTGTTGGCGGAACCTAAGAGAGTATATTTAGACTCCTGCTGGTAGACACTAGCCAGCAATGGAGGTCATACCGCCTTTAAAATATCATTTGCAGTGGACAATGGACCAGGTGGGACATGCTCCCCAGGCATAGCAGTCACCTTGATTGCTGGCTCTTTTTTGCTGGTTGCCCCGTTTGATTTTATTTCGACCAACATGCTCTGGTAGGTATCCAGGGCCTCTACTTTGGTAAAAGAGTCATCCCCCTTCGACTCGAGGCAGCCCTTAGCATGAGGCGTTGTTATAATGGGTATATCACGGGTAAGAGAACCTTCCACTTTTTGGTCAAAATGGTCCCTTGTTCAAAGTGATATATCAGCATAGACAACCCCAAAAAAAAAAAGCATCGTAGGCTTGAGAGTGACACCATACGCATGATAGTGTGAAAGAAGAATCAAGTGAACAGGTGGTATATCGTGGAGATCGATCGCAGGATTCGTGACTCGCGTTCCCGTAACCTGGTGTCGACAAGTCAGAAACACCTTTCATAAGAGGGTTATAGGGTAACTCGCCCCTGGGCCAAGATGAACATGATCTCCGGCGTGTAAGAAGTTTGGCTATGGGACCAATTAGTATACGATATAAATGGGTGGTTCGCTGGTTGGCAATACGTCGGTCATGATCCTTATATTTGCCCATTCTCTTGTAGACGGTTATTAGCTCGGCCATGCCGCTAGAGGACTTAAGGGGCCCCGTACATGAACGTCGTTGCTGTCCCTACAAAGAAGATGTTTCCATCTTCTCCTCCAGAGCTCTTTGGATGAACTTTCGTCTCATTTGCTTCGCGGAGCTTTGAGGGATGCTTGGAGGGATGGTCTCGAGTAGGCTCCCCCGGGTCTTCTGCGTCAACAACGATACGACGCATTCTGCAGTATTTGAAGATATTTATGCCCAAAGATACGAGAGGTAATAGTGTAACAGTTCTATTGTCTCTTCTCGAGGACCATATCTATGGAGGCGACTTTAGCTGTAGGGCTTCAAGTAAAGCCAATGTCCCTCATACGTCATAGGAGGGATAAACTTCTTCATGTTTATAACTTCCCATTTTCGGTATGTTTGCAGGAGGGTATCCAATATCTAGTCGTAAGGGTATCTTCTGACGCTGTTCCGAGTAGATGTGTTGATTTGTGCCTGATTCCAGCTCAGTCGAGCGAAGAAACCCTAGCTTCAAGGCGCCCGGCCAGCGAGTCAACCCACTTCTCGGAGTCCATTAACCTGCCTGATACGGAGGTAATCATCTCGAATCAGCCTCTTCATGGATATCAAGAGGGCGACCCCCTTTTCTACTCAGCCTCGCTTGAAGCTTGATGGTGATAAGCACTCCAAGGCTGAGCCAAGTTCGCTCCTTCAAAAACATTTCGAACCGAGAAACTTTGTTCATCTCCGCCTGAACATCGTCTCCGACGGATCTTCCATAGCCCAAGAACGCGCGTTACATGCCGTCAGGTCTCCATCTCGCAGTCCATGGCTTCTTGCTTTCATGAATATCAAAATATTCCTGCAGCGAGAAGGATTCGATATGCCGCTAGTTAACTGCTTTGGGCAAGCCTCACGAGAAGAGGCCTCAGCTTCGATTTTCAACTTCCTCGCATGGAAAAATTCGCGGGATTTGCAGCAGTGCAGCCTTGCAGTCTGCGGGCTAATGGTAGCGAGTCAATTGGATAACTAGTTGCCTACCATGCATTGTGACACTGTGCCTAGGCGAGCGAGTCCTGCAGCCATGCGCTCTCCCTCATGGCTGTGGCTTGTCTTCCCTCCATGTCGTCACTGCCACTCGAAATGCCCACTACAGCTGAAGACTCGCAGCCGATACCCGAAAGAAGAAAGAAAAGTACAATTGTGGCCGTGCCAGACTTCAAATCACTCGATGTGGATTTCTAGGATCTCCGATGAACATCAGTGATACCCGGCGAGATCGTGATTTTATAAGCCGTCGGTCTCTCCTCCAACCGTGGTATACAAATCAATACAAATCAGCATCAGTCAATCACAAGTCAATACCTTCTTCTGTTCTCTCCAGATACTGCGATTTTTCCTATCCATCTATTGTGCGGACTCCCCAGAACAGACCCCACCATGGCTGTCGATTATAGGCATGGAATTGCAATCTTCAGTCTGATCGTCTATCTCCCTTGCTTCTTCGTCGCAGTTTATGTTGCACTACGACATGGCTTTGCAAAGTCAGCGGGATGGTTCTTCCTCGTCGTGCTCTCCTTGGTCCGCGTTGTCGGCTCATGCTTGGAGTTGGCAACCATAGCAAATCCCACCGAAGGTCTTTTTACGGCTGCAGCGGTGTGTAAATCTGTTGGAATATCCCCGTTAATCTTAGCCTGCATCGGCCTCCTGCAAAGAGCGTATGAGCCCCCATCGGAGAGAGAGAACAGCGCCCAGCTTACTTCAAAGCCTTGCTAATATAATATCCAATAGAAACAACTCTATAATAAATAGAGGCCGGAAGGGAGCTCCCCCCATTTTATTCCGCGTGATCGGGCTCCTGGTGTTAGTCGGCCTTATTCTCAGCATCGTCGGTACCACCAGCCAGGATAACGGTGTCATGTACAAGCCAAACGGAAAGAGCAAAGCATCCATCTGCATTACTCTCGGAGTATGGGTTTGCACCGTCGGTTTAGTCTTTATTATCAATAGCAACAAGCATAACCTTCCCGCGGGGGAAAAGAGACTCCTGCTTGCAGTTGCAATCTCTCTCCCATTCGTCCTTATCCGCTTGATATACAGCTTGATCAGCGCTTTCAGCCATAGTCCCAGGTTCAGCATTGTTTCCGGCAACGTTACCATCTACTTGGTCATGGCTCTGCTGGAAGAGATGGTCGTTGTTATCACCTGTCTTGCCGTTGGAGTTACCCTACAGCCAGACGGAGTTGCAGCAGGCAGGGGTGAGCCTGGATCAGCCGAAGAAGAGATGAAGGTTTTCCAAGAAGCGCGTGACAATGGGTATGGACAAAGTGTTCCTGCTCCTTATACCCGTTGAGCAAGGAAATTCACCTCGTATTTTCCTTTATTACTTCAAGAAAAATTGCATAACGAGGTTTTATGACCCCAGAGTCGGGGATAGCATGCATTGTATATATGACTTACTGGGTAAGTTACTCAAATAACGATAGATAGGAGATTTAATATACCACCGCATCGTCAATAGGAGAGAAAGGAAACTGCAGTTATAATATATTGATGGTTATAGATGTAGAAAGGGGTAAAAACAAGGCAAAACGCTACGCTGATAAGTGCCGCCAACTCCTCTCTAATCTTAGCCGTCTCAGCCATCATACAGCGGATCACTAGATCAGCATCCCACATAGAAAAAACGTACATTTAATGGCCAGAAGAGAGGAAGAAAAAGAATAATCCGCCCACGCCTTTAGGCTATGTCGCTACGCCTTTGAAAACATCCATAATCATGCCTTTAAACAATGACAACTTCGAGGCCTTCTTGAGTGTGTGGGAACATTTCTGCGAAGCAACATCTATGTCGCCTTGCACAGCGTCAGACTGAACAATTTCAAGGGCCTCAAAAAAGGAAGTTGGAGCTGTCTCGGGGTGATGTTCTGGTTTAGAGTAGACAGCAATTGGCAATCGGTTGGGTTAGGCGGTCAAAAAATCTCCAAATTTTTCATGTAGCCCTTTGTCCAGGAGACAATTCGTGTATATCGTCTGATTGAACAGAATGGTCTTCGAGTATGTCGAGACGCTTGATTCATAGAAACCGACTATTTCCGTTATGTCAAGAGTGGTGAACATCATAATCTTGCAATTCCGTGATGTTCGTAAATATGTAAGAGACAATCTTACGAAACAGCGGCTTCCAGAACGAGAAGCGGAGCCAGGCTGACAATATACCAGCCCTTCTTGTGTAGCGGATGAATGGGACAGTCGGGAATGCAAAAGGCGTGGTGATGTCTGTATGTGCACAGGAAAACTGATAGGAGGTTTCTACTCAGATGGGACTTTGAGTAGCTTAACCCTGCACTTTTCCAACGCCTTGCAGGGTGAGGTACACGTCAGTGCCCCAGCCCCAAAGACTCTGGATGTCGATACCTCCGCCAAAGTACTCGGCGTATGCGCGTCCAAGGGGAAGTCCGTAGCCAAGGCCCGCGATGGTGCTGGCATTATGGCCACCGCTGCCGGAAATCGCATTCAAGGCATCAACGTTCCCATTGTCACTAACTGGAAGTTCATCCGAGTTGAAGGTGCTGTAGCTATAGGACCAGATATCAGAAAGAATCTCAGGAGGGATGCCACCTCCTCGGTCCCGAATGCGAATTGTGATGCTCTGTGCAGATGACTTGAGAGGTTCGAACATCGGACCTGGCCCTAAGGGTCGTCCTTTGTGCACGCCCAGACTCATCTGGAAGTCATTCTGGGAGCTTGTACCAAGGGAGTTTGGGCTTTTCTCGAGTTCAGGTACAGCCTGCTCAATACTGTTGGTTGACGGCATGTTGGGTGCCGAGGCGATGGTTACTTCAATAGGCTCACGCTCGTTTCCGGCCTCAACTGTTGCTCGGAAGGCGTTCTTTAACAGTTCGGTGAGTATGTACTCGACGTGGACGGGGATATGGGCGAATGTTGCTTCGGGCTCTCCGTCGATAACTACTCTAGGGCGGACGCCATACTTGAGCTCGCATATTTCGGCCACGAACTCCTCGCACACTTTTATCAAACGGGCAGGTTTAAGAGCCGTATCGATTACACCGATATAGTTAGACGGCACATTCTTGTCCCGCGAGGTCAAGAGTTCACCATTTTCCGAGAGGGAGGCATGGTGCAGTGCCAGGTGTTGCTGGGCAATCAGACGAGTGCCGATGCGTGCCCTGAGATGTTCATCTAAAAATGCAGTCACTTCGGCAGGACTGATGTATTTACGACACTCTAGAAACCCACGGGCTAGCACTGGAATTGTATTGTCGTGTGTCTGCACCAGATCCGCCATGATCTCGGTGAACTGTTTCTCTTCCTCTGCGGTTGAGATCCGGCGCTTCTGAAACGGTAGCAAGGTAGTGAACGAGTGAAGGTAGTTGTTGTAGATCTGGGAGATATGGGGGTTCGAGACAACGATGAAGGGCAGGTTCCGCAGAGCCTGGATGCGGCAGGCCAGCCTGGCAGGGAGGAGAGAGAGGGTGAAGTTTGCCGATGCAAGAAGGGCATCTCTCGTGAGCGGCGGCCGGCCATGTCTAAATCCACCGTGTCAGCGCTCTCTGCCTCTCCTTTCACTGTACTATTTTCCTTTCTTCCGCCACTTACCGGAGCAGATCTGCCAGCGTCAAGGGCCGACGGGGACTCGTAGAGAGGCGAGTGATCTCGTCATTAGATACATCCGATGCAGAGGGCGGGTAGGACCAGCTACTCGTCGTGATGGAGGAGAGGGAGCGCAGCGAAGTGCCACCAGCCATCAGCCGGCTCCCTGCCATGATGCGCAGAGGGTTTGCTCGCAGGAGTGCCATGGTCAACTGGGAAGGAGTGTCGATTGCTATTCCATGCTGTGGGCAGGGGGGCTCCAATGGTGAATTCCTCTCGCCGGCCGATGTCCTGTCCTGCGCAAGCGGGCGTGGTGGTCAATATCAATATAAAATCACTGAATGACGATGTTGCTGGCCGCTGCCCCGTACTTAAGCGGCACACAGGAAGAAAAAGCAAGCCTCCTCCCAACAAGAACAACAACTCCCCCTGAGCGTCTCTTCTTCTTCCTATTAGTGATGGATGCTTGATGGAGCCGGCACTAGTTATCGTGTGATGCCCGCGGTGCGCCAACCAGCATCAGCTTATGACGACGGCTGAGGGCTGCGGTAGGCGTGGAGGAGTCTGCGACTGGCTAGCAGCGTCAAGGCCTTCGTCTGCTCGTTTGCGATCCGGTTGGCCAGGATGTTTTTGATAACTAACTATTAATATTATTATTTGGCAGCAAGATGAAGATGCCCTCCCTCTCCCTCTATCGACCGCCTCCGTGGGCCGGGGGCCGCGGGTCTCTTTTCTTTTTGTTCGGCCAAACAGACCAACCCTTCGACCGAGTTCCACGTCTCGGTTTGTCTTACAGTGTTTGATAGGGGGACGGCAGCAGGAGAAGAAAGAAAGGACTCTTTCGACTTGACCTGACGATATAAAGGATGTCTTAACCTCCCTGGCTGGCTTGTCACCTTGTTTGCCGGCAGGTGCAGCGTCTGACACGAAGAACCAACACTTCCCGGAGCTGTGGGACCCCCACGCAGAGCAGGCGGATGATGCCCTCTTCCATCACAGTAGCATTCGTTCGTTAGTTATATTTGACGGATATGTCGATTATTATTGACGAGTGATGTTCTACAGATCCCAGATCTGCCACTTTGTGGCCTCAAGGGGGTTCGGAAGGCCAACCGAGATGATAGCCATATCGTTACAACAGCAGCTCAAGCAGACCTCGATAGAAAGCGATAACTATGTACCAGATACATCAGTCAACTAGTCCTCGTCCTTGTCCTTGTCTGGGTGGTCTGTGTGAGACTATTCTCATCCCTCTGCTACTTCTCCGGACTTAACGGGTGACGGGGAAGGACGTAAATATCCGTCGACGTCATTGTTGGTCAGAGATTCTAAGCCCAACATCCGGAGATGCATGGCAGCAAAAGAGGCATGCGGGTAGGGAAACGGAAAGCCTGTCCTTCCATTCCGTAGGCACGCTGCGTATCATCTTTCAAGCCGTCCGTGATGGGGGGGAACGGCTGGCTTCAAAGCGTCATAGGCTGCAGCAAGGATTCTTCAATACCTTTTCAAGGATCATGTACGAGCCTGTCAAGTGTGGGGAAACAGACATGGGAAAGAATCAGCCGAGCTTGCTGGTAGCTCATCTCTACACTTGTCGTTCAGTGCTGAGACGTGTCTTCTTTTTAGTCCATCAGGGTAGGGGCCGTATTTATAGAGACGATATACAAGAGGTTTACGATTTACGACATAGGCTTCGAGCCTTGTCTTACGGTGATTCAGGAACAGCATAGTATAGAGTTGATAGAGTGCAGGTACGAGGAAGAAGAGATACTTATTTCTGAGGAGAATTTTTTTTTTTTCTTAAAACTGGTTGATTGCATTTGCTCGAAGCTACCACAGTGAAACATCACGTATTCCCCCTCTCAGTGGAAATCAAGTTTGTTAATAAAAACATCTGGGTGAAAGAAGTAAAAGGGGGGATTAGAAGAAAGAAAAAAAAAAGAAAGGTAAGTCCGCAACCATAACGCCTTTTTTGTCCCATTCGATCAGTTTACCAAGGGAAGACAGAGAAAACGATCTGAGCGGATGGAATACGACAGAGGGGGTAGATAAGAAAATAAGAAGAGCGAATGTGGTAGTCCTGTCATCTGTTTATTTTCGGTCGTCCTTCAGATGGCTGAAGTAGTAGTGACCTTCTTAGCTGGCCCAGGGCCATCCTGCTCAACGTGGATATGGTCGTTGGACTTGAGGACATCATCAAGGTTGTGGTCATTAGGGTACTCCACACTAGGCGTTTCAACGAAGCATCTCGTCAGTTCGACCGTATATTTCACCACTGGTGACAAGGAGCAGGGGGAAATAAGGATCTCTCTTACGTGAATCCTCTAATCAGCTTGTACTCGTGACGGATGGTGCCGCCAGTCTTCTTGGCCGACTCCTTTGCCCTGGAGATTCCGGAATTAGCAAAACAGCTCAAATAAAGAAGGAAGATATGCATGTCTATCATTCGCATTCTTTCGGGTACTCGTGTCGCCCTCGAACGCCTTGAAGAAAGGAGAGGACGGTCCCACACGTATGAATGAAAAGGTATACTTACTTGGCGAGGGCTTCATCGGGAGCACCAGGCTTCATGGTAACCTGCAAGGACGTCAGTGGACCAGAACAGGTTTCAGCTGCAGGGAGCCAGAGAGAACGATAGAGAAGGTACTCACGTTGAAGTACATCTTGGAGGTTCTACCTGGTGTACTTGGTAAGGTGGAAAAAGTGCTGCAGGTCCCGAATCCTCGTCAGAACCGTGTATACTTCGCAAGTAACATGTACTTTGAGATCCTAGCTTACCTGTTTTCTCCTTTTCAAAGGCTTTTTGAACGATTATCAGGTGTGGATGATGGTGATGAGAGTGATGGAAGCAGAAGAGCCAGACAGAGAGATGTTTGTTGTGATGATGATGATGTTGTTGTTGTATGAAAGGAGGACGGAGGGGTTCAGCAGCCCTTTTGAACCAGGCACTGTGCAGTCTTCTCGGCGTCCTCAGCGGAAGGAACTGGTCGACAAAGGCAGATATTGAGCTCTATGAGGGCCTCTAGGGGAATAAGAAACAAGCAAGAGAACAGAAGGCTGCGTCGTGGAGTGACCACCAAGATGGCGAGTGTGCATGGGGCTGATCCATATAGCAGGCTGCCTCGTTTTACTCTTGTCTCTCAGGACAGCAAACAAAAGAAAGAGGCAGTGATATCACACTACTATTGGCAGCAAATCCTCTCTTAGATAGGCTGGATTCCTCTTTGCCCTTCTTTTCTCTTCTATCGAAGTAGCAGGATGGATGACTCTTATAGATTTCCGCAGCGGGCGGGCAGGGCGGCGTAACTTTTCTCATCAAAGATAACGGGTAGGGTAGATGCTTAAAAAGCGCCTCTATCAAAGAGATGACGGAATCTGAACAAGGTCAAGGATACAAAGGGAGGCTCCCTTAACCTTATTCCGACCTAGCCGGCGCCCGGACTTAGTGGGTCGAAGGTGATGTTTTCCAGAGCTTCACAGCTTGTGATACATTTCTTTGCCCTGTGGATGGGTGTGTAGGTGGCATACGAAGCTTGTGAGTCAAGAATGGAGCTATAGCTTCGACGCAGAATGGCTTGTGAAGTATCATCCCGCGTAGACACAGCCACATAGGCGTCCAGTCGAGAACTGTTTGGCCGTGCTCTTCACCCAATAGGAAGGGGAAGCGGACCGCCATAAACTCCAACATTTGACTGTTGCCTGCTGAGACGGGCAGAACGTGTGCGTGGTTGCTGGTTCAGAAAGGGTGTACCTGACAGGGGAAAACTAAATATATTTGACCCAGCTGATCATATATATAAGCAGGAACAACTGCACACCAGTACAGGGAAGGTTTCCCGTCTCGACCCTACCGTCGACTACCGTTGCGTACATGCAGATGACAGGATCAAGTGCAACGCAGCCTCAGACACATCGCTTGCTTCCGTGAAGAAGAAAAGCGGCTTGTGAAGCGATCATGGCCATCCCGTCATTCACTAGTCACCGCATGCGGCGCATCGGTGGTATGGTCACATGATGTCTTTTTTTTTATATTTATTTTTTTATTTTTTTTGTTTTGGGCGGGCGCCTGGAGGAGGTCCCAAAGGTATTCAAAAAGGGAGGAAAGTCTGAGTTGAGCCTTTCATTCAGCTTCACGGTACAGCACCCAAGATGAGTCCCTGTTTTCCTCTTTCGTTTCGCAGGCGGTTACTTCTCTCCACTATGCTTCCTTCAAACGCCCACCACCAGCGCTGAAAGACAAGTTGACCAACCTCCCACATCTCAGGAGAGAACGGGTCCGGCCCAGTGACTCTCAGTCCTTCGCCAGCATCTTCAATATCGTACACCAAGCCCATCAAGCCCATCGGATCTGCCGCCGCAGGAGGCCGAAACTGCACCGGTAAGCTAAAAACCTGGATCAACTTATCTCTCGCGCTAGGCCAGGGCAGCAAGTCCAGAATCGCATGGTGCGGCACCAGTCGTTGGGTAGGCGTTGGATGGAAATTCCTTGGGATACCAGCCAGATCCAAGTGCTGGGCTACATTAGTGCCGAGACCCGTTGGGCCGGTGTAAAATGGGCTTATACCCGCAAGGTTCCAGATATACTCAGTTAGATTCAATCTGGCCGCGATAGTGAGCATAGCCCGCAAGAGGGTCAGGGGCGGGACCTCCAGAATCTTATCGTCAGGAAAGGTAAAGTTGGAAGTTTGGAATGACTGCAGTGCTGAGGAGAGCGGCTGGGTATCCTCCTGTGGATAGTTTGCAAGGAACTGCAGGGAAAGCATGGACAGACTGGGCGACGTCTGTGCTGTGGGCGAGAGCTGGAGATCCGCTGGGGGCGAAGGGAGGTCGGGTGGAGGTGTCTCTGTTCCTATAGCCGATAAAGAGCATACAGCCGATAGAGAGGAAGAGTCAAAAGTAAATTCCGGTATACTGGTCAGGTCTAGAAGGGACTCCCCCAGTATTTGTGCCTGGCCATCCAAGGATGATGAGAAGGATAGAGGTCCATTGCCGAAAGTTGGCGGAGCGTCGCAATCCAGCTCTAGGTCTAGCTCGGGAGGCGTGGGTGCCTGCTCTCCAATTGTCTCTGACAAGTTCACCGACACCCGGCCGGTCGAAGACTCCGAGCCAGGAGATGTAACCTTCACACTTGATTCGGGAGTCCTTGGCTGTGTTTGTCTAGCCTGTGCTTCAAGTTCAGCTAATTGTTCTCTCTTTCGTTGTCCTATGCACACGATTAGCCCAGCAGTCTCGGTCTACGGGAGTAACGAAAAGGAATCGTACTGTATCTCCTTTGTGCAAGGACATTAAGCACTCTCTTTCTCTCGGCCGCGTCTGCAGCAAGACCAGGGACGACAATGTCGTCAGCTTTTCTCTTCTGATTGTTCTTTGCCGTCATCTTGCTGTCGTCACGTATCTTCGCACTTGGATGCCATCACCACGAAGATACGGCGGCGACTGCATGATGTCATCTCTATATTTATATGTGGCCTGAAGAAGCTCTCGCTGTCCGAACATATGATAGGCTGCCGTCCCAATTAGACTCCTGAAGCAATATATCTCGTATCTCCTTCGGCGCATTGATTGAGTTGATGAAGCTGAAATACCCGTGTTTTCGTCCAGATATAAGCATAACGTTATGGTGTTATTGCCAGCAGATATATGAAGACGCGCTCAGCAGTTTAAAGAGACAAAAGCCTGTATATTCAACTAGTGTATTGTGGAAATAAACATGGCATCGCCAACCTTAAGCCAACCTTTTTTCGCACCAAAAACTCAATACTCAACGAGATCCTCCACTTCTTCTTGTTGTTATTCATTATAGTCCTCTGCAGTCAATGACTATGAGGACTCAATGACAATCTCTTAGCTAATTACATGTAATGTGTCTTCCTTAATACAGGGTTCCTAGTTAGGCATTGCATTTAACTAAGCTTAAACTGCCCTATTAGGCCTCAGGGGAGATATGTAAACCCCTAACCATTAACACAATTATCCTGACAACTGGCCTATAGCCTTAGGGTAAACCCTCAAAACCTAAGGTAACTAGGGTATCTCGACATTATTCAATGGCAACAAATAAACGCCTTAAGATAGTACCCTGCTTCTCCCAGGGAGGGGGACTCCCTATCTTGGAAGCGTAGGGATCGAACAGATCCTCCACGTTCTACAGCCTGACATCGTTGATGAATTCCAGGATATCAGCAATGACGCGCTCGTGATGCGTATCCGTCAGTCCTAAGGGGCCACATATTAGTCAAAAAATGTCAAAAGATACCCCCCCCCCCAAAAAAAAAAAAAAAAAAAAAAAAAAGCTGGATAGCGACTTACCATGAGCAGCATTCTCATATATCTTCACCACCGTCCTGGGAACAATCTTCTTCAACATGACAACCTGCGACTCAGGAGAGTCCTTGTCACCATGCAGACAAGTAATACGGAGACTACTCTCGCTCTCCAACGTCTTCAGCTTCTCGGTGAAATCCGTTGAAGAAATAAGCTGGACGCATCGCTCCACTGCCTGCGCATCCGCTCTGAGAACCAGCTCGGTATATCGCTGGATCAGCTCATCGCTGACCTGACAGCCTGCATCTCGGCCTAGGATAGCAGGTAAAGCCGCCTTGGTGTATTCCGGACGATTGTAGCGGAGGTTATGCAGGATGTCATCCCATGCCTCTCGAGAAGTGGCTGTTGGATTCTCCGGGGTTTGAAGCGGGTATGGCAGTGCGGCTCCAATGCCAATGATTCCCTATGAGTAGAAAAGTTCAGTCCCGCTGCCAAAATTGACGAGGGAGGTGGTTAGCTACATACCCTGCAGTTCTCTCGCACATATCCACTGTTCATATAAGTGTGTACCGCTTCGCCAGGTCCCATGCTAGCACCGATGAAAATAAACGGGCCGATTTTCAGCTTCTCCAGCAGGTAAGCCAGGTCTGCGGCGAACACGTCATAGTCGATTGGTTTGTCGACGGGTTTGGAACCCATCCAATCGCTATTGCCGAACCCTCGTCTGTCGGGTGCGATGCAGCGGAATCGATAGGTTTCGCAGAGCGGGAGAGTCAACTTCTCGAACATGATGGAGGACATTGGCCAGCCGTGGAGGAAGACGAGGACAGGCTTTCGCCCTTCGTTGTCGAGGGATGCCTCGTCGGGCCTGAAGGGAGCGGGGAAGCCTGCTGGCTTGTAGTCGCGGTAGAAAAGGTGACATTCGTCAAAGGGGCTGATAAATCGAGGCATGTTGGTTGTTTTTGGGCGATGATCTATAGACCTTTCTTGTAGACTTTGGTTGGATAATGATGAAGTAGCTGATTGATGGCTATTGAGATGTCTGTCTCAGTGGCGAAGAGGAAGCAGTATATATATCCAATCCATAACGTTTTGCATAACATGAAAAACGATGCGAGGGACAGCCATATAGCTTGCTTTTTCAGTTTGGTTTACTCGTGTATACAATGTCGAGGATAACGTTATGCCGCCCGCCCCACCAACATAACGACCAGATCTTAGTACTCCGTAAATCTATCTACATGCAAGAAAAGCAGCGTCTACCTCATATAGAGTGACGGTGAATAAGTCTCCGTCCGTCAAAAAACACTTGACGATTTTATACACCGGCAAGGCCATCCTGCTCTCTGGCCGGCATACGAAGGCCATGTAGACCTGTATAGGCAGACGGCTCAAGGGGCCTCCACCCTTCCAGCACGGCCTTGTCATCCAACGAATAAACCTCCACGCCCAAAGGCTTAGTCGTATCCCCCATCTGCTCGCTCCCCTTCCACCCCCACTGTGACAAGTCACCCCCAGAACAAACCGACAGCGCACATAGGACGTCCTGCTCGGCGAAGAATTCAAAATAATCACCTATTTTGGCCGGACTGGTGCCCATGAAATACCGCCCCTTGGAATCAAGGCCGGTAACCTGGAACACGTTAAGCACATCATGCACGTCGCTTTCTACAAGGCCGTACTGAGCAACGGCCCGCACGAGGTTAGAGTGGCAGTGGAAATCGTCTGATTCGCCCGTCATCAGGTGGTGGATGTAAGGGTCGCAGCGGGTTCCGAGGAGATCGTGCACGCGCCCGCCTGAGCTGTCAACGCCGTATGTTGATAGAGTGTCGGCGGTGATGGTGACCAGGGGCCTCATGTAGGGCAGACAGGACCAGAGGCGGTCGAAGGTAGAGACGTGGGATTGGTGGAGTTGGCGGGTTCGGGAGGCCCAGAAGCGCTCGCGGGGGTTATGGGCGTTCCAGATATTGAGGTCGCCTACCTGGGCACCTTGGGGGGCTGTGATGCGGCATACCTGGCCTGCGCGGACGATCCAGGCGTGGGCGGAGCGAGGGCGGATGAGGGAGTAGTCCTGCAGGGTGCGGGAGGGGCAGTTGGCGATGCGGCTGTAGAGCTCCTTGTTGGCATAGATGGGGGAGTCGGCGGGTGCGTCGTAGGCTGGCGGCGGCGGAGGAGTCATCTTGCCGGATTGCCGCTGTCAAAGTCAATTTCGATGATAACAATGCTGTCAATTTCATATGTCAATTCGATAATCATAATAACAACAAGTAACACCTTGAATTCATATCAAGAGTCAATTGGAGATAATTGATGCCAAGAGTTGTACAGCCGAGGTTAGTTGTACTATGCTTATGTCAGCGCGGCTCTTTTCACTCAGCCTCCTTTCTCGTGTTGCTAAAAATGGATTTCTGTGCCTGGCCGGAGAAGCGAGACAGGGCGTCCGCGGCCACCGTGAGAGCCTGCAACGGACTCCGTACCCTCAGCCCTTTTTTTAGGTGTTTGACAATCCGCATCCGTATACGAATACGCCTAAAAAAACGAAGGGATACGCAAAGGATACCATAACGGGCAAGAAGTACGGAGTCCGGAGAATGTAGGGAGTTAAAAAGCAGTTGAATTCCAAAGCTCCAAAGGTACGGAGTTAGTGATATGAGTACGGAGTAGCTAGCTGCACGCTTGTGCATACGTAGCATAAGAAAGCCGTTTTATGCGTCATATGGTCATCTCGGCCCCGACGCAAGTGAACAAAGATGCTCCGACAACCGCGCCCATCTAAATAACCTTCTTGCTCGCGCTTCCCTCACTCATCCGGGACGGACAACGGTGCGTGAAAGTCTGCAACGGAAGGCCGGCATCAGTAAACGTCGCTGCCTGACGTCATCGCACCCATGTCTGAAGAGGTGCCTATTCTCGCAGCCAGGCAGCGAGATTATGTACATAACCGAGTATGTATGCGTTGCGAAGCATCATCAGGCCACGCTGTCGTTAGCCAGGCAACAATGTTACCGCGATGCACTAGACAGAGTAGTTTATGCGTTGTTTACTTGACACATCTCCAAGGTCCTGGTGCCTAGGCTTGGGGCGGAGAGATCAACTACCTTGGAGTCTCAGCCCATGAAGCCTGGCCGAGCATCTTCCACCTTGAGTAAGGGAGAGAAAGAAGGTCTGGCCCTGATCTTTGATCAACTCTTGGTCTGTCCACCGTAGTAGTAGTAGTAGTAGTAATTATAAATATGATAATAATCAGAGAATATGAGTTAACGGAGGCATAGGGGGCTTGTAAGTCCGAGATCGAGGCCAGCGAAGAGCCCGAAGGCCCGAGAGTCATGTGACTACGGCGCCGAGCATCCGATGAGTCATCATTGAAGCCCGTTCGGGTGGAGGCAAAGCCGGAGTTAAGGTGGAGAAAGCGAAAGGAGGGAGAGAAAAAGGAGGGACCAGAAGGAAGCAAAAGCGAAGAAGAAGAAGAAGCAAAGACTGTTGAAGTCTCAGGTTGAGCTGCATTAGTGATCATGGGGAGCAGCAGGGGAAAAGTTCTTCTGTTAATCGATGTACATATAATAATAATAATAATAAATTATGGGCTAATTGCTTGGTCGGTGGGCGCGCGCCCAGCCAGCCAGCGCTGTGTGTGGCCCCTTTTGGGCATGCAATGCGACGAAACCTCCATCCCGCCGAAGGACGATCTGGAGACGCAGAAGTTGGCAGCAGGCAGGGCAGTTTGATATGTAATAATAATAGGCGCCATTAATAATACTAGCCATACGGAGTACTTTGGAGCAGTAGGAGAGTAGCAGTGATAGCACGTCAACGCCAGAGAATGGCATCACATCGTTAATTCAATGATATTATTCAGGAGTGACGCCATCCCGCACGACGGTTTGGCCCTGGGAACGAGCTAAACGAGGAGGGAAGCCGAGAGAAGAGAGAAGAGATGATTCATCATCCGACAGCTGGTCAAGCTCGCTGACCGCCAGACCCCGGTCGGCCTGCTGGATGCGCAGGCTTGGGCGTCGTATTCGCAAGGAATCCAGCCCCCCAGCCGCAGGCCATGAAGAGAGTCGATAAGAGTCGAAAAGAAAGGGCGGAAAAAGCAAAGAGGGAGCGAAAAGTTCGACAGAGTCGCCCACGCGGTCGGTAGCAAACCCTCCGGCCCACCGCGATCCTTTCTTTGCTTTTTGCCCTGGACGAGTCGCTTGGTTGTTGTTGCCTGGTTGCTGGCTGGGGCGGATAAGACGGACGGACAAACTGTTGTCGTCGCTGCGCCGGAGGAACTCGGCCTCAGTCACTCGCCGGCTACTTATATCTGTCTTCTTTGCTGCTGTAGACTCTCGACAGGGTAGAACTACTCTCATATCGACTCAGCTCGACTTAGCTCGACTCAGCTCGACTCAGCTACCACCACTATCACCCTGATTACTCTGCAATAACAGATTGACTTTGCCAGCAGGAACCGACCAAGGATCCCTCCTCCCCACCGCCCTTCTCGCGCGCCTCTGCGATCGCTCACTAGCCTCGGACTTATCTGACCAGTCCAGTCATCCGCTTTTTGAGTTTTCTTCGTCTTTCTTGGTTTTGCAAGAAAACTCGCTGCCTGACTCACGTCGAACGGAGAAAGGAGATAGCCATAAAACAAAATATAATAACAATAATAAACTACATATAAAAAGACTCCCTCCCGCTCCCTCTCCCCCCTCTGCGTGTGCTCCTACCATCACCAACACACACTCGAATACACCCAGAGTCACCGCAATGCTTCTGAAGAAGAGAGACATGTCGCTCAGCGAGACCTACGTGCTCGCCCACACGGCCAGGGCAAAGCTCACCCGCGAAGCTGCCAGGGCCGACCACCACCTCCGCCTGCTTGTCGGACACGCCAACATGCTCGACAACCTCATGCTCGATCTGGCCGAGGCCGAGCGGGAGCGCGAGGCATGGTACAACCAGGCCATCAAGTCCAGATCTACTTCTACATCAACAACATCAACAACAACAACAACAACAACAACAACAACAACGGCTGCTGCACCAGCGCCGGTCTCGGGCAAGCGCATCCAATGGTTGGACACCGTTGTCAGACACGACGAGCCAGAGGACAACGACGACAGCGACAACGACAACGACAACGGGGAGTGGGACGCCGTCAGCGACAGCGACAGCGACTCAGACGACTCCTCAGACTATGAGACCGACGGTGACTTTTTGGTCGACATCGCCAGCAAGCGGCATCAACAAAGCAGTCCTGCCGCTGCGGCCGCCGAGCTATACCCGATCAAGTTCTCTCCCGCCACCCACAGGGACTTTGACCTCGGCCTGGACAACAACGGCGACGACGAGGAGAACGACGAAGAAGAAGAGTACGATGATTACGGCGACTACGACTACGACGACGGAGACGAGCTCACTCTCACTCGCACGTCGTCCCGGCAACACCAGCCGCCAGAGCTTCTGCACGACTCCGACGAGGAGTCCGAAGACGACATGCCCCCTTCTCCTCCAAGTACCACCTTCGACTCCTTCTCTGCCGCGGCTGCTGCTGCTGCTGCTGCTGCTGCTGCTGTTACTGCCGCTACGGCTCCAGAAAAGGCTGTTGGCAAGGACATGCATGCAGACCAACCCGGCAGCCCCAGACTGTCTCCCGAAGAACAGTCCTCCTTTGTCGAGCAGGGCTTCTTCCTGCCGCCCAGGAACCCGGCCAGGACAGCCCAGACGATGATTGCCGCTTTCTAAAAGCATTAGCCACTCATCTACTGCTCTCCTTTCCTCTTGTCTACTCTACTAAACTGCATGCATATTATACCCTTCCTTTGTTTTTATCTCTTTCGGCATAGTCAAAAACAAAAGGCGTCTCTAGCATTATTCCTTTTTATTATTTGTTTTATTGGGCGGATTTGGTCTTTAGGGCGGCGGCGTTCATGATCTGATGACGGATGATACCTCACCCTTTTGTTTTCTTTCCCCTCCCAATCTCCCTCCTCTCTCGGCTACTGATCCTCACATCACACCTGCATCTATCACCACTCTTGCATCTCCTTTTTCCACCGCATTTTGCTTACGTCTCTCGTCAAGATGAGATTACTCTCCCTCCTGGCTGCAGGAGAAAAGCCAGGGCATGGTTTCTGAGAGATCTACGGTATTGCTTTGACATATACAAAGCATGTTCCCTAATCATACAGATAAACACTCCACCGAAAAAAAAAATATATATATTTACAATATAATCAAATTAACTAGCCTATATCGCTATTTCTTGACTTTCATTCGCCATACTCCGTAGTTTGTACACATGTAGAACTGTAGAGCGTAAGATTCACTCCACGCCTCACGGACATTTTGCTCCCCTCGTCACCTCATCAATGCGAAACATACAACATGCAGCTCGACCGTCGGCCTTCACTTGGCACCCGAGACTCGCCCTTCCGCTACATATATGCGGGGAGACGAGCAGCCAGCTCAGCAACTCGGCTGTAAAGGGGTCAGTGCTGCTGGCCGTCAGTCCCGCGCCCTCACGGAGCAAAGCAGTGCACCGACACTATAACAAACCAGTAGTATAAGCAATCTCCGATCAGGAATGCTCATAGTAACACAGATTAAAGGTAGCGAAGCGTTTGAGGCATGGTCTGCTCGTATGGAAGACTGGCTTCAGCGCTTCTTAGGGGAGGGGACCATGTAGCGGTCACCCGGGGAAAGGGGGAGGCAGGAGACGAGACGGAAGCTGGTTCGGTACTCGATGACTAGAAAAGGGCCGAATAATGCTTAGGTTAGTGGTGCATCCCGATGGCGGGTTTCAGCCGTCTCCCAAACATCCCCTCTTGTACCACTTCTAGTCATTGTTGCCATGTGGCTTGTCATACAAGGGAGAAGTCTAGAGCCGTAGCACGGAAATGCCGAGAGATATCGGAACGCTTGATCGTCACGGCTAGAACAACAATGCCCTGATGCATTCTGGACATATGCACTCTGAACAGTTACTGGTTACATCCCAAGAATAACGAAGCATTATTATTCCAAACGACCCCCTCATTCATTCCCCCTTCCCCCGGCTCAGCGATACAACAAGAAAGTCTAGATCTCGAGCCAAGACAAGCTCCATGCCGGCCAGTTATAGCTTTGCTCGAGCGCTACACTCGGGCTTCGATGCATACTTGTAAGGCTCCCCTATCGCCGCCATGATTCTACCCAACGCCTCGTCCAGGAACGGCCGAGGATGCGAAAACACTATCCGGAACCAGCCTGGCTTCTCCGACCCAAACGCCGTTCCGTCAGCAAGGAACACACGCTTGGATATCAGCTCGCCCATTACCGTGCATGTCAGATCCGCCGGCATCGGGATCTGCTTGTTCCGCAGGTACGCTTTGCCCAGGTTCACCCACACGAAGAACGAGGCGTTGCAGCCCGTCGCATACTCGATGTCGTGGTCCTGCATGGCCCGAGCGACAAAGGCGTAGGACTCAGATAACTTCCTCTGGTTGACGGCGATGTAGCGGTCGGTGAACGCTTCGTTCTCAAGAATGCTCGAGGCAACGTGGTCGGATAGTCCCGAAACATACGAGTACAGCGTCGGCCCCTTGATGGCAGCCAGTAGCTCCGGGTTGGATTGGGATATAATTATTCCCACCCGCAGACCGTTGGCGCCAAAGTCCTTGCTCATCCCCCAGAGGGCGTGCAGCAGGTTGGCATCGATCAGCCCCTGCGTTGGTATCGAGAGAGCAGACTCAAACTTTACGGGAGGCGGTGTGCCCGGTGCGGTGTCGACGGTGTTCGCCCACACGGACAGGGCGTATATCTCGTCGCTGATAAGGTGGATCTGATACCGCTGGCAGAACTTCATCAGCTCAATGATCGTTTCGCGGGGATAGCACCGTCCCAGTGGGTTGTGTGGGTGACACAGCATCAGCGCCCGGACCCGTTTACCCGTTCGTGCTTCGAAGTCGAGCAATGCCCTTTCATATTTTGTCACGCATCGAACTTCAAACGGATCTATATCGTCAAACGATACGGGAACCACCTCGGCTTCGGGACGAGATGTCATGTCTGGTACAAACGCCCCGTAATGAGGTCGGCCGAGCAGGATACCTTCGCCGGGATCTGTAAATGCCCACGCCAAATGCTCGATGGCAGCCGATACCCCATTAGTCACCATTAGATGCTCAGGTTTCAGCGGCACCACGGGCTTCAGATGACGGTTCAGGAACCGCGAGGCAGCGGTCTTCAGCCTCCGTGACCCATCCCCTCCATCATTGTATGTCAGGTAGTGGGGAGGTAAGTCTGCATGTGTACGGATATAGTCCAGTAATGTGCTATGCATCAGGAAGTTCTCTGCCACCCCGACATTGACGAATCCATTCTCGTTGGTGGTAGCATCGTATAGATCTGTGAAGACATCCCACATCTTGTTTGCTGCTGTTTCTTTTGAGACTTTGGCAGCGCGGTTGGAGACCGTGGCCAGCCGGGCGGTCGCGGAATTGTCTCCGGAACCCATGGTCGATATATATATATAAAGATATATATATATACAATATATTCAAAATTGCGCTTATACTTGGAGTCCTCGTTGCCTGGATGGGTTGGAAATGGGATACCTTCTTGTAGTCATTGCTCACCGGCTGATAAACCAAGGTCCCATTAGCAGTGAGCTAAATACGAGGGCCATTGCCGAAACCTTGGAAGCATCTCCGTAGTTGGTTGGCGGTTTGTCGACGCCCTCATGCCACGATTCATGCGTGGTTAAGCAGTGCAGTCCAATCAAAGTCGTCTATCCCGTGTCTTTCTGAGGACCCTGGCCTTTCGTCGAATTATCCCGGTTGCCATTTTTCGATGACCTCCGGAGGCTGGGATGCGCGGATACTAAGCGACTTTCGATGCGGCTAGCGCTTAATAAATGTATTATGTAATTTTTTGATTATGTAATTGATGACTAACAAAATTTTAACTGTCAGAGTGTAAAAAAAAAAAATAAAAAAATAAAAAAGATTGATAAAAGCTTAGATACAGAGGGCTTTCATTTTGAATGCGGTCAATCTTCTACTGGCTCAGAGATGATATAGGTTGTTGTACCTAAGAAATTCTTTGGCCATGGAGGAGCAGTCCAACAGACCTCATCGGAAGTCCAAGGAGAAGGGGAAGAAGAAAGACCATGGCGGTATGTTGAGCTTCCGAAATTTCATTCCGTAAAGATGCACAAGTGATCATGACTGCTAATTAGGATGATTGTGACATCTTACAGGCCCTAACCCCAAGGCATTTGCTGTTAATAACCCGGGGAAACTGCAGAGGCAGGCGGCTAGGTCCCATGATGTGCGTACATGGTTTCGAGTTTGCGCGGGGATACCACCCAGAGTCTGCAATTTGCTAAAATGCCGGTTGGATAGATTAAAGAAAAAAGGTTGCATGTTCCACTCGTGGATCGCCTGCCTGAGGACCCTCCGCCGATTATTGTCACAGTCGTTGGTCCGCCGGGAGTACGTCAATTGGAAACGTTACAAAGAGAATGGGTGCAGAATGGCGCAGCTAACGAACCTTTTGATATATAGGTTGGGAAAACTACTCTCATTAAGTCGTTGATCAAACGATACTCAAAACATTCCCTTACCTCGATCGCCGGCCCTCTGACCGTCGTTACGTCGAAAAAGCGAAGGCTTACCTTTTTAGAATGTCCCTCCGATTCTCTAGCGAGTATGATAGACGTCGCAAAGATCGCCGATATTGTGTTGCTAATGATAGACGGAAACTATGGATTTGAGATGGAAACCATGGAATTTCTCAATGCTTTATCTGCAAGTGGAATGCCTGGAAATGTTTTTGGTATCCTTACGCATCTCGATCTATTCAAGAAACAAAGCACGCTTCGCACGGCAAAGAAGAGGCTAAAACACAGGTTCTGGAGCGAGTTATACCAGGGCGCAAAGCTCTTCTACCTTTCCGGGGTCATAAATGGGCGCTATCCAGATCGAGAGATCCATAATCTTTCGCGATTTTTGTCGGTCATGAAGAACCCGCGACCACTTATATGGAGAAACTCACATCCGTACTGTTTAGCGGACAGGTTCTTGGACATAACGCCTCCCACTCTCAAGGAAGAAAATCCAAAGTGTGATAGGACTGTTGCTCTCTACGGATACCTGCGAGGTACTAACTTCCCGGCTATCGGTGCAAGGGTACATGTCCCGGGAGTCGGGGATCTTAGCGTTTCTTCCATTGAAGCTCTGCCTGACCCATGTCCCACGCCTGCTATGGACCAGGCAATGGCAAAAGCAGCGGGAAAGAACGGAAGAAAACGATTAGGCGAAAAACAGAAACTTCTCTTTGCTCCTATGGCAGATGTCGGTGGTGTTTTGGTCGATAAAGATGCCGTGTACATCGACGTCAAAACCAATACGTTCAACAGGGATGACGACAACGAACAGGGTGAAGAAAGGGGCCTGGGAGAGCAGATGATTATTGGTCTACAGGGTGAAAGAAAACTGCTAGGTGATACTGCCGCTGGAGTCAAACTGTTTAGAGACAGCGGCGTTACCGCCACGATCAACCCAGAAGAAACTGAGAATCTCGGAAGAAACGAAAAGAGAAAAGCCCGGTTCATTGAAGGAGATGATAACGCGCATGATCTAGAAGAGGACGAGGATGATGGGCTAGAGAGCGCGGAAGAAGATGAAGACGAGGAGCAATATGGAAGCGATATAGAAGAGGAATCAGATGACGAAGTGTCCGGCGCCGACTTTGCTGCTAAATTCCGAGAAAAACAGAATGGAACTTCCGGCAGTAAAAACGGGGAGGACCTTGCATTCGCTGATAGTGATTCAGATCTTGGCTCTATATCATCAGTTGAAGGGCCAGAACTTGAAAGTGCCCCTAGTGACTACGAGATGATGAGGACGAGATGGAGAAACGCGCTGGAAAGAAAACTTGGCTGCCAATGCTAAGGCGATGTTTAGCAAGAAGCCCCCTTATCGGGTAGCTGAGCTTACTCGCATGCTCTACGATGACTCCGTGAACCCCGCAGATGTAGCTCGTCGATGGAGTGGCGAAGATGCCATGGAAGAAGACCAAAAGGATGACGAGGATGAAGCCGATGGCTTCTTCAAAAAGACGAATGCCGAAAAAGGAGTTCTAGATGACCGTATGATTCCCGTTTATGACTATGACAAACTGGAGAAAAAATGGCAGGATCAGGATAATCTAGATGCGCTTCGTCGACGGTTTGCGAGCGTCAAGTTTTCTAAAAACAGGTCTGGCAAGGAAGGATCCGGAGATGAAGAAGATGATGAAGAAGGCGGGTTTGGAGACACAGATTCTGATGACGAAGGAGATGGAGCATTTGCGGATCTTGAAACCGGCGAAGTATTCGGCGGCGATGGCAAAGACAATGAAGAGAAAGATGACGAGGAAGAGAGCGAGCCCGAAGACCTTAATGCCGAACGCGAACGTAACGCCAGGCGAAAAGAAGAATTGAAACTTCGTTTTGAAGAGGAGGACCGAGAAGGTTTCGCTAATTCGAAAGACGGGGCGAGAGCTGGTGGGCAGGCTCCAAATGAAGAGCAGTTTGGCGAAGATGAATGGTATGATGCACAAAAGGCTGCTCTTCAGAAGCAAGCTGACATCAACCGTGCTGAATTTGACGCACTTGATGCACTGTCGAGAGCACGAGCAGAGGGCTACAGAGCTGGAACATATGCTAGAATTGTACTAGAGAATGTTCCCTGCGAGTTTTCTGAGGGTTTCAATCCTCGATTCCCGATCATTGTTGGAGGTTTGGCGCCTACTGAAGATCGATTTGGCTTTGTCCAGGTCCGGATTAAGCGCCATCGTTGGCATAAGAAGATCCTGAAGACTAATGATCCCCTTATCTTCTCTCTGGGCTGGCGTCGATTCCAGACAATGCCAGTCTACAGTATCTCAGACTCTCGAACTCGCAACAGGATGCTGAAGTACACGCCCGAGCATATGCACTGTTTTGGTACCTTCTACGGCCCCCTGGTTGCCCCTAACACGGGCTTCTGCTGTGTTCAGTCCTTTTCGAACAAGAACCCTGGATTCAGGATAGCTGCCAGCGGTGTCATTCTAAGCGTTGACGAAAACACTGAGATTGTCAAGAAGCTGAAGCTCACCGGCCAGCCTTACAAGATTTTCCGAAACACCGCGTTTATTAAGAATATGTTCAACTCATCTCTTGAAATTGCCAAGTTTGAAGGAGCCGCCATCCGCACCGTCTCTGGTATTCGAGGTCAGATTAAACGTGCCCTGAGCAAACCAGAAGGCCATTTCCGTGCCACGTTTGAGGACAAGATCTTGATGAGCGACATTGTCTTCCTTCGAACCTGGTATCCCGTCAAGCCTGTTCGTTACTACAATCCAGTAACCAATCTCCTTGACTACAAGGACTCTGAAACCGGCACAGGAGCTACCTGGCAAGGCATGCGTCTTACTGGAGAAGTCCGTCGAGATCTGGATATTCCTACCCCGCTAGAGAAGGACTCTGCCTACCGCAAAATTGAACGGCAGACCAGACACTTCAACCCCCTGAAAGTACCCAGACAGCTAGCAGCTGACCTCCCGTTCAAATCCCAGATCACCAAGATGCGGCCGCGCAAGAAGGAGACGTACCTGCAAAAGCGTGCCGTTGTCCTGGGTGGAGAAGAGAAGAGGGCCCGCGACCTCATGCAGAAGCTCACTACGCTTCGAAACGAGAAGATTGCTAAGAGACAGGCTGCTCAGGAAGAGCGGCGGAAGGTCTACCGGGCAAAAGTCGCAGAGAACCTGGAGAAAAAGGAGGCTCGAGAGAAGAAAGAACGAGATGAGTTCTGGAGCCGGGAAGGCAAGAAGAGGAAGAATGAAGCAGAGGGAGGCTCGAGCAAGTTTAAGAAGAGGAAGTGAGGGTGTATCCATATATCTATATCCGTGTTTTCTTTTTGGAGCAAGCATCTTGTATATATCCCCGTATACATGGCGTAACTGTAGGCTGGCCAGGAAAAGCAGTGATTAGATCATTTTAACCCTTTTTGGTCCCTCTCCGTCACCTTTACCTCCTTCGTCTTCGTCTTTATCTTGACTGTCTTCATCTTCGTCTCTCTCTCTCTCTCTTTATCCTTACCTGGCGGCCACTTTATATACACGTGACCTATTTCATCACGTGCAGGCGCGACGCGTCTAAAAAAGATCTTCAACTCCCTTCAACATCCCACGTCAAAAGGAAAAAAAGGCGACTTGATGAGCTGACGGGAGGACGAGGAGGAAAAAGAAAATACAGAGTGTAACTGGGAAGCGTGCCGGTGACAGCAGGGTGTGCTTTGGCACTCGAGAGCTGCTCCCTGCGTTAGTCAGGCTGTTCACTGGACGTCGGATTTACTCGAGTCACTGACAACATGCGCAACCACAGCTCGAAGCCACACAGAACCGCTTGACCAAGAACTCTCACCATGCGGCGTTGGTAGCTCTAATCAAATTACGTCAGGCCATTACTTGCTGGAAGTCAACAAAAGGAGCGGAAAAATAAAAAGGAACCGTCCTCGAGGATAATTCTTCCCACAATCACAACCTCGTCTCCTCGCCATCCTCGATCTATCAGCCGCCACTCCAACAGATAAGGTCCGGATAAGGCGTCAATCTATCCCGGTTCCTCCGTTTCTCTCTCTCGAGTCTGCCATGGATGGCCACAGAGCGCGTTCCGACTCGATAAATATGAGCACACAATTTCCAGCTTCGACGCCTGATGGACATAATGTCTCTCCTCCGTTGAGAGCTGCCGCCAGTGACCTCACCCAATCGTCCGTGGCAGATGTCAGCGATTCAAACACCCCTCCATCCACATCATCGTCTCTTCAATTTGGAACCGATCCAGGCGCGAGTTCCAGCACAACTTCCCAAGTAGACCAACCTCGGTCACTCTCACAGCTCCAGTTGACCTCTTTTCCCCGACCGCTGGAAAGGGTCGACTCTGAGCATGACACAATATCATCTACCCCCTGTCATA